AACAGTTTTATTAAAATCAGTTTTCAGTTTGTTGGTTCTTATTGAGATCTGATCTGTTATTAAAAACCACAAACATCTTTACTGCAGTAAATGTCTGAATTTATAAAAACATTTTAAAAAGGAGGAAAATGAATCTACAACATGCGGCGCGGCTCGTTGGTCGCATGTCCCCCATCACCTTTCTGTTGGATTCCTTTCAAAATAAAAGCCACTAGTTGCAAAGGCGTGAAGTTCCTGCTGTTTGGACAGGAGACGAAATGTTTCCATCCCTGAAATTATGATGCAGAGAATCATAAATCTAATCTGTCACAGACAGTAAACAATGAAAACATCCATCATTGTTTATTAAAGCAGCACATTACTGATGCATTAAGATGAAATATGATCATCTTATGCATTAAGATGAAATACTTAATGATATTTATTAGTGATTACATCATGCATTCAGCAAGTACTTTTAAAAGCCGGTAGTTTTTTACTTTTACTCCAGTAAAAATGTTAATGTGGTTCTTTAACTTTTACTAGAGAAAATTTCTGTCTGTTTGTATTTTTACTGACATTCATAGTTTGAGTTTTTTCTCCAGCTTTTCTAAATAACAGGCTGTTTCCTTTTCTTTCCGAGTTTGGAGAGTTTCTCACTGGACTCATGTGTCACATTGTATTTATTCCCCCAGGGGACCTGAAGCAGAGGAACTTAAAGACCTCCAACCCAGATTTACTGATTACCTTTCTACCACCAGGCGGCAGCATTTCTCTTTATTTGTACATTTTCATCTTGGGACGTTGTGGGCCGCTGGGCAGAATACATCGAAGATCTGCTCAATCCACCAACATGCCTTCCAGTGAGGAAGCTGAGCCTGGGGACTCCGGGTCGGGTCTCCGGTCTCTGGGTCTCTGGGTCGGGGTCTCCAGTTTGGGGTCTCTGGGGGGGGTCTCCAGTTTCTGGGGTCTCTGGGTCGGGGTCTCCAGTCTCTGGGGTCTCCGGGTCGGGGTCTCCAGTTTCTGGGGACTCCGGTTTCTGGGGTCTCTGGGTCGGGGTCTCCGGTCTCTGGGGTCTCTGGGTCGGGGTCTCCAGTTTCTGGGGACTCCGGTCTCTGGGGACTCCGGGTCGGGGTCTCCGTCTCTGAGGACTCTGGGTCGGGGTCTCCGGTCTCTGGGTCTCTGGTTCGGGGTCTCCAGTGTCTGGGGTCTCTGGGTCGGGTCTCCAGTCTCTGGGGTCTGTGGGTCGGGGTCTCCGGTTTCTGGGTCTCTGGGTCGGTGTCTCCGGTCTCTGGGGTCTCTGGTCGGGGTCTCCGGTCTCTGGGGTCTCTGGTCGGAGTCTCCGGTCTCTGGGGACTCCGGGGGGGGGTCTCCAGTCTATGGGTCTCTGGTTCGGGGTCTCCGGTCTGGGGTCTCTGGTCGGGGTCTCCAGTCTCTGGGGTCTCTGGGTCGGGTCTCCCAGTTTCGCCGAGGTGTTTAAAAAGCTCCTCAGTGGCAGGGACTGGCGGTGGATGAGATCTGGCCAGAGTTCCTCAAGGCTCTGGATGTTGTAGGGTTGTTTTGGTTGACGTGACTCTGCAGTATCGCATGGACATCGGGGGCAGATCCCCTGGCTTGGCAGACTGGGTGGTGGTCCCCCTGTTTAAACATGGGGACTGGAGGGTGTGCTCCAATTATAGGGGGGTCTCACTCTTAAGCCTCACTGGCAAGAGCTATTCAGGGGTCCTGGAGAGGAGGGTCCGTCGGATTCAGGAAGAGCAGTGTGGTTCTGGTTCTGGTCGTGGAACACTGGACCAGCTACACCCTCAGCAGGGTCCTGAAGGGTTGTGGGAGTTCGCCCAACCTGTCCACATGTGTTTTGTGGACTTGGAGAAGGCGTTTGACCGTGTCCCTCAGGGTGCCCTGTGGAGGGTTCTCCGGGACTATGGGGTACCGGGCCCTTTGATACGGGCTGTCAGGTCCCTGGACGACCTGACAGCAATGCAGTCTGGTCTGCATTGCCGCAATAAGTCAGGCTCGTTCCCAGTGAGGTTTGGACTCAGCCAGGGCTGATCTTTGTCACCGATTCTGTTCATTACTTTCATGGACAGAATCTGCAGAGCAGCTGAGCTGTTGAGGGGATCCGTTTTGGTGATGTGGTTCTATTGGCTCCATCAGGTCGTGACCTGCAGCTCTCGCTGGAGCGGGTCGCAGCCGAGTGTGAAGCGGCCGGGATGAGGATCAGTTGCTCCAAGTCCGAGGTAACGGTCTGGAGCCCGAAAAGGGTGGAGAGCTGCTCCAGGTGGAGGAGATGTCCTAGTTCAAGTGGAGGAGTTCTAGTATCTCTGGGTTCATGACTGAGGGAAGAAGGGATCAGGAGATCGACGGGCGGATTGGAGCAGCGTCTGCAGTGAACTGGACCGGTCCGTCATGGTGAAGAGAGCCGAGCCAGAAAGCCAAGCTCTCGATTTACCGGTCAATCTACGTTCCCACCCTCATCTACGGTCATGAGCTTTGGGTCACGACCAACAGAACCAGATCTCAGATAGAAGCGGCTGAAATGGGTTTCCTCTGTAGGGAGCTGAGTTTCCTCCATAGGGAGCTGGGTTTCCTCCGTAGGGAGCTGAGTTTCCTCCGTAGGGAGCTGGGTTTCCTCCGTAGGGAGCTGGGTTTCCTCCGTAGGGAGCTGGGTTTCCTCCGTAGGGAGCTGGGTTTCCTCCATAGGGAGCTGGTTTCCTCCGTAGGGAGCTGGTTTCCTCCGTAGGGAGCTGGGTTTCCTCCGTAGGGAGCTGAGTTTCCTCCGTAGGGAGCTGGGTTTCCTCCGTAGGGAGCTGGGTTTCCTCCGTAGGGAGCTGGGTTTCCTCCGTAGGGAGCTGGGTTTCCTCCATAGGGAGCTGGTTTCCTCCGTAGGGAGCTGGGTTTCCTCCGTAGGGAGCTGGGTTTCCTCCGTAGGGAGCTGGGTTTCCTCCATAGGGAGCTGGTTTCCTCCGTAGGGAGCTGGGTTTCCTCCGTAGGGAGCTGGGTTTCCTCCGTAGGGAGCTGGGTTTCCTCCGTAGGGAGCTGGGTTTTCTCCGTAGGGAGCTGGGTTTCCTCCGTAGGGAGCTGGGTTTCCTACGTAGGGAGCTGGGTTTCCTACGTAGGGAGCTGAGTTTCCTCCGTAGGAGCTGAGTTTCCTACGTAGGGAGCTGAGTTTCCTCCGTAGGGAGCTGGTTTCCTCCGTAGGAGCTGGGTTTCCTATGTAGGAGCTGAGTTTCCTCCGTAGGGAGCTGGTTTCCTCCGTAGGGAGCTGGGTTTCCTCCGTAGGGAGCTGGGTTTTCTCCGTAGGGAGCTGGGTTTCCTCCGTAGGGAGCTGGGTTTCCTACGTAGGGAGCTGGGTTTCCTACGTAGGGAGCTGAGTTTCCTCCGTAGGGAGCTGAGTTTCCTACGTAGGGAGCTGAGTTTCCTCCGTAGGGAGCTGGTTTCCTCCGTAGGGAGCTGGGTTTCCTATGTAGGGAGCTGGTTTCCTACGTAGGGAGCTGGGTTTTCTCCGTAGGGAGCTGGGTTTCCTCCGTAGGGAGCTGGGTTTTCTCCGTAGGGAGCTGGGTTTCCTCCGTAGGGAGCTGGGTTTCCTCCGTAGGGAGCTGGTTTCCTCCGTAGGGAGCTGGGTTTCCTATGTAGGGAGCTGAGTTTCCTCCGTAGGGAGCTGGTTTCCTCCGTAGGGAGCTGGGTTTCCTACGTAGGGAGCTGGGTTTCCTACGTAGGAGCTGGTTTCCTACGTAGGGAGCTGGGTTTCCTACGTAGGGAGCTGGGTTTCCTCCGTAGGGAGCTGGGTTTCCTACGTAGGGAGCTGGGTTTCCTCCGTAGGGAGCTGGTTTCCTCCGTAGGGAGCTGGGTTTCCTATGTAGGGAGCTGGTTTCCTACGTAGGGAGCTGGGTTTTCTCCGTAGGGAGCTGGGTTTCCTCCGTAGGGAGCTGGGTTTCCTCCGTAGGGAGCTGGGTTTTCTCCGTAGGGAGCTGGGTTTCCTCCGTAGGGAGCTGGGTTTCCTCCGTAGGGAGCTGGGTTTTCTCCGTAGGGAGCTGGGTTTCCTACGTAGGGAGCTGAGTTTCCTCCGTAGGGAGCTGGGTTTCCTCCGTAGGGAGCTGGGTTTCCTCCGTAGGGAGCTGAGTTTCCTCCGTAGGGAGCTGGGTTTCCTCCGTAGGGAGCTGAGTTTCCTACGTAGGGAGCTGAGTTTCCTCTGTAGGGAGCTGAGTTTCCTCCGTAGGGAGCTGAGTTTCCTCCGTAGGGAGCTGAGTTTCCTACGTAGGGAGCTAGGTTTCCTACGTAGGGAGCTGAGTTTCCTACGTAGGGAGCTGGGTTTCCTACGTAGGGAGCTGGGTTTCCTACGTAGGGAGCTGGGTTTCCTCCGTAGGAAGCTGGGTTTCCTCCATAGGAAGCTGGGTTTCCTCCATAGGGAGCTGGGTTTTCTCCGTAGGGAGTTGGGTTTCCTATAGGGAGCTGGGTTTCCTACGTAGGGAGCTGGGTTTCCTCCGTAGGGAGCTGAGTTTCCTCCGTAGGGAGCTGAGTTTCCTACGTAGGGAGCTGGGTTTCCTGACAGAGAAGCTCAGTCATCCAGGAGGGATCAGACTAGAGCTGCTGCTCCTCCACATGGAGGATCCAGTTGAGGCATCTGGTCATGATGGAGGCTCCCTGTGAGGAGTTCAGGTCCCACCGGGAGGAGAGGAAGACCAGGACCATGATCCCGGCCGGCCTGGGAACGCCGTGGGATTCCCTTGGAGGATCTGGAAGGAGAGGCTGGGAGAGGGAAGCCTGGGCCTCCATCCTTAGGCTGCTGACCCCGCTGACCCTACTGACCCTGCTGACCCTACTGACCCTACTGACCCCGCTGACCCTGCTGACCCCGTGACCCGACCTGGATAAACGGCAGATGATGGACGGATGGACACACTTCATTTCAATCCAAACTTTTTGTCATGAAGTTTAAAACAAGTCCTCAACAATTATTTTAAATAAAATGCCAACATCAAAATTATATTTTTCTGTTAAAATAATAAACTAAAATCAGGTTGATGTTATTAAAATAAATTTAATCATCAGATTTACATAGAAAATTATTAAAGACCCCAAAATAAAAAATAAACCGACAGTTTCCTGATTTTCTGGGGTTTATTATTTTCTGAGCCTCAATTTTAAAAACTTTTTTCTGTTCAACTTTCTGATGTTTCTGCTTCTAGATTAAGATGAACCTCAGAAACAATTACGATTTCTCTTCAACCTATTTTATTTTATTTTAAAAACCTGAACTTCCAGCCACATTAACTTTAATTATACTCCAGAACTCCAGTTGGGGTCCTCTGAAAATCACCCAGCGGACCATAAGAAGGCCCCCAAACCTCAATTTGATCCCTCACATTTACAGCTTTATGCATCAGTCGTCCATCAAAACGTCCCAGTTAGTTCCTGGTTTAATATAATAATAAAATACATCAGCTTTGTTTCTTCGGTCTCCTTTCTGGAATCTTCCCGGCAACAGACCACCAACCTCCAGCTGATTGGTTGAGTTTTAAGTTCTGGGTTTAATTCTTTCATTTGAATCTGAACAAAATAAAATAATCAGATTGTTCCTGTTACACCACAGGGTGGCGCTGCAGAGCTGCATTCATCTGATGGCTCCAGAACCAGCCATCCCACAATAACCTGGAGTAGATTTCAGAATAAAAGCCCGAAGCAAAACGTCTCAATCACTTTACATTAGGAAGCAGCTGCACTCATACATCATCACTGGGTTCTGGTTCTGACAGAACCTGGACAGGTCCGGATCGACCAGAAGTTCTGGAAAACGGTTCAGTCTGAAGGGCTCCACCTGCTGGATGGAGGACAGATTCTCAGGTTTTACAGCCAGATTGAAACTTTTTCCATAAAAATGAAGTCAGAATTTCATCAGTCCAGTTCAAGAGTTAATTAGTGCAGAACGAGGCGGGAAGCCGGTTCTGGTGACAGACACCGCGGGTCGGGTTTCACCCACCCTTCAGACTGAGGTCACCAGAACCAGACTGGACCAAACTGGAACCAAGTGGACCCAACTGGAACCAGACTGGACCCAACTGGAACCAACTGGACCCAATAGTAGCTGCTGCTGCAGAAACTGGTTCACATTCAGTTCTGAAGATATAAAAACTAATCATACATCCAGTGCAAGATCAAGAGGTTCTGCTGAACGTCTGGATTGGAAATGGCCGCCATTAGGGACGTCATTGGGACAGAGTCGTGTGATTGGCTGGTTACATTCTGGTTAATTCAGAGTTGCCATGGCGATGCAGCATAGAGCCGCGGGTCCAGATCAGACTGAGGGAACGTGATGCTGCTGGTCCCAGCAGCCAGTCGTCCGCTCTAGAACCGCCGCTCTACGCTCAGGGGAGCCATCCGCGCTGCGGATGATGACATCACAGCGCTCAGGCGATGATGTCACATGCTGTCGGTGGTGTAGATGCGGTACATCAGAGTCACGATGCCGGCTGCCAGAGTGGGGATGATCAGATTGGACCACCAGCTGCAAGAGAGGAGCAGGAGACACTGAACCACCCAGACGGAGACCGGCTTTGGCCCCCTGGCGGCCCCTGGTGGGAACAGATGCCCACCTGTTGCCCCTTGAGGCCCCCAGAAGCCCCTGGAGGCCCCCGGAAGCCCCAGTTTGCCCCTAGGGCCCCCAGAAGCCCCTTGAGGCCCCCAGAAGCCCCAGTTGCCCCTAGGGCCCCAAAAGCCCCTTGAGGCCCCTGGTGCAAATGTTTACCTGCCGTCCTCCTTCGCCGTGGTAACCAGCGTTTCCTGTCCAACACAAAGAAGAGAAGTGATGATGAAGGTCAGAGTTAAACATCATCATCCTCTTCCTGTTTCCTGCTCCTCATCCATCCACTGCGGCCTACATTTCCCATGATGCCCCTGGCTCTGCAGACTCACCACAGGCTTGTGGATCTTGTGCCGGTCGTCCTGCAGACGGACAGACAGTTAGTGAGACGAGTCATGGTGGACAGACAGTTAGTGAGACGAGTCATGGTGGACAGACAGTTAGTGAGACGAGTCATGGTGGACAGACAGTTAGTGAGACGTGTCAAGGTGGACAGACAGTGAGACGAGTCAAGGTGGACAGACAGTTAGTGAGACGAGTCAAGGTGGACAGACAGTGAGACGTCAAGGTGGACAGACAGTTAGTGAGACGAGTCAAGGTGGACAGACAGTTAGTGAGACGAGTCAAGGTGGACAGACAGTTAGTGAGACGAGTCAAGGTGGACAGACAGTTAGTGAGACGAGTCAAGGTGGACAGACAGTTAGTGAGACGAGTCAAGGTGGACAGACAGACAGTGAGACGAGTCAAGGTGGACAGACAGTTAGTGAGACGAGTCAAGGTGGACAGTAAGGTCAGTGTCGTGTGGTGTCATGTCGGCGTCGCCGTGGCGACGACCCCACACTGACCGGGTGCAGCTCTCCGATCACCAGGCTGGCGGCCATTTCTCTGGCGTCGGTGGAATGGCCGACGTCCTCGAAGCTCTCGGTGGCGTTGCTCCCCGCCTGCTCCCTCAGAACCTCCTCGCCTCCGGGATGCTGCGGACACGGACCACACCGTCACCGGAACCGGAACTGGAACCGGAACTGGAACCGGAACTGGAACCGGAACTGGAACTGGAACCGGAACTGGAACCGGCACCAGAACCGGAACCAGAGCCAGAACCAGAACCGTCACTGGAACCGGAACTGGAACTGGAACCGGAACCGGAACTGGAACCGGAACCGGACCCAGAATGCTCTGGTTGTCACGGAAACCCCTGAACGTCTGATTTTCGGCTCAGTTTTAGTTATTTAGTTTTAGTTTTAGTTTTAGTTTTTGAAAATGTGACCAATAATCATCAGGTCGAACATTTTATTTTCTAAATGTCAGTTTCAGAGATTTGTCACCAAAACGACCCGATGCGACCCGGTTTCGGGAGGAGGACCGGATTACTGAGGAAGATTATGAAACCTGTTCATCAGTTGCTACTTTTTAAAACCTTTGAGGTTTTGGTGCTTTTACTGGTGAACAGAATATTTTACACTGTAAAACATTTTTAAACAAATGTAAAAGTTTTTAAAAAGTAGAAACTGATGAACAGGTTTCATAATCTTCCTCAGTGTAAAATAATTTTCTCCCAAAATAAACAATAATTTAAATTATCAGCACAAAGACAAATAAAACATTTCATGAAACAAACAATAATCTGATGATTTTCCTCAAACTGTTTCTGTGTTCTGATGGTTCTGATGGTTCTGGAGGTTCTGATGGTTCTGGAGGTTCTGATGGTTCTGATGGATGTTTGACATAAATAACTTTAACAAACTGAACAAACTGTGTTGATACAACAGAAAGATTCAAAATGGACAAACAAATAAAATGTTTGACCAGAAGAACAAGTCCAGATGAAAAACCTCTGGAAGACCTTCAGGGTCCAGTTCTGGATGGGTTCTAGGTTCTGGTTCTGGCTGTCTGTTCTGCTGACTCTGCGTTTCTCTCTTATCTCTCGTCCCTGCTCCAGTCTGCCGGATCGCCCTGCCAATGATTTACAGCCTGCAGCAGAGACAACGAGCCGGGCCTCAGCAGAGCCGGGCCTCAGCAGAGCCGGGCCTCAGCAGAACCGGGCCTCAGCAGAACCGGGCCTCAGCAGAACCGGGCCTCAGCAGAGCCGGGCCTCAGCAGAACCGGGCCTCAGCAGAGCCGGGCCTCAGCAAAACCGGGCCTCAGCAGAACCGGGCCTCAGCAGAACCGGGCCTCAGCAGAACCGGGCCTCAGCACAGCCGGGCCTCAGCAGAACCGGGCCTCAGCAGAACCGGGCCTCAGCACAGCCGGGCCGCAGCAGAACCGGGCCTCAGCAGAGCCGGGCCTCAGCAGAACCGGGCCTCAGCAGAACCGGGCCTCAGCAGAGCCGGGCCTCAGCAGAACCGGGCCTCAGCAGAACCGGGCCTCAGCAGAGCCGGGCCTCAGCAGAGCCGGGCCTCAGCAGAACCGGGCCTCAGCACAGCCGGGCCTCAGCAGAACCGGGCCTCAGCAGAACCGGGTCTGAAGGAGCCCCGGACCGAGCGTCCTGATTGGCTGGCCGGCGCTGACGCTCCCTGGAGGACACGCCCACCACCTCACCTCTGTGCAGCCTGTCCTCTGACAGACAGCGGGACAAAAGTCCAACCTGGCCGGTTCTGAGTGAAAGGTCCTGCAGGAGCAAATATCAGTTCATAATGACCTCTGACCTGATAGACGGTTACCATGGAGACCGCGGAGCCATTACCAGACAACAGAAGAGCTGCTGAACCTCCGGTTGGTTCTGTGGACCTGAACAAATCAGCTTCATGCTAATTAAACCTGCAATTCTATTGGCTGACGGGACCAACGGCTGGTCACCATGGAGACGACTGCAGTAAGTGAGGTGCTCTTATTTTAACAGTTTATTCAGGATTGTTTTGATTCTTCTGGGTTTTTAATGATCCTCTGATTGGAGGTTTGAGTCGATCGAAAAACTATTTTATCATAAGCTGATGAACCAAGCGTCCTAAACAAAGTAAAGTTTGTGTTATTCAGACATGGAAGAAGTCGATCAGGTTCTGACTGGACCGAGTCGTTCTGCCAACACTGTTACCTTGCACAAGGACTTCCTGTCAGGCACAGGAAGTACTTCATTTAAAAAAAAGATTCACTTTATGTTTATGTGCAAATTACATTTTTAGGTAGTTAAATTCAATAAAGATTGTTTAAATTTAATAGAAGTATTTGTTATTTTTAAGAGTTAAATCTTTTTTTTTTTCACTGTGATTTGTTAGTTTAGAGGTGAAAAATGAAGTTAAACTAAAAATATGTGAAAAAAATTAAACTCAACATGAACAGAATAAAGAAAATATTTGAAATGATGAATTTATGAGAGCAAAGACTCAGTAGTTTTAACAAGCTGCCTTTTTAAATGGCTTCACCACGTCGGACACAAATGTGATGCTCACAATAAATACCCAATAATCATAAATCAGTGATTTAATAACAACGTTTCTCAGGTTCATTAAGTTACATTCTAGAATAGTTTATACTTGGCGGCCATAGGGGCCCCGGCCCCCAAATCCAGAATCCTGAGCTACGGCCCTGAGCGGCTCTCAGATTTAATCCTGATCAAATCTGATGTGAAGCAGCAAACCGAGAGAAAGCTCCGGCTGGTGACCGGAACCAGAAGCAGAACTTTCCTCACCTCGTCCAGGAACTTGGTGACGTCATAGACCTTGTTGTGGATGATGATCCAGGTGGACTTGAAGGAGTTCTGCTCCTCAATCTCTGACAGCCGGAAGTACTTCACTCCTTCGGGGCTTTTCTCCTGCTTCTCACCCATCTCTGTCGCACCTTGGTCCGGCAGCGAACCGGGAGGACAACCGGGAGAACCGGGAGGACAACCAGGAGAACCGGGAGGACAACCAGGAGAACCGGGAGGAGAAGCTGCTCGGCCGGACTGAGGTTATGTAATACCGGGGAGAGTCCGACCGCACAAACACTCCGACATTTACCCAGAGACTCCGCTCCAACTTCCAGCGCTCACTGCTTATCAACGATCAAGGTGAGCGCGCGGTAACACCACTTCCGTGTGGAGTTTTTCAAATAAAACTGACAAGCCAGTTTAGGGATAGAATATCAAGCATAGTAAAAGTAAAAAAGAAAGCAAGAGCTAAAATAATTCCATAAAATTGCTGAAATTGTGAAAATTAAAATTAAAAACAAAATTAAGATATTTGATAACACAAATAAGTAATTATATGCAGTTATATTCCATTTAAAAAAATAAAAAACATGCAATAAAAATAAAACAAAAAAATTACGTAAGTAGACTTCTAAGCTTACAAATTTGTGCTTTAAGCAAACAACTATACATATTTATGAAGGTATTTAAATAAATATTAAATAAATAAATCAGATCAAAATTAAAAAGCTTAAAGGTGAAATGAATAAATAAAAAGATAAACAAATATATTATGATAAAGCACAATTAAAACGTGTTGGTTTTCCTGAGAAGCCAGAGGCGGTCCTGAGCAAACCGCTCCCCCATTTATGAATGAATGCTCTTTAGTAAGAAATATTTTTTGGAGTTATCCTTAGTCTATTATTCCCTTTTTTCATATTTTATTTAAAAAAAATTAGAGTTGAGTGTTGATGTAAATATTTTATATTGAACCAGACGGAAGTATATTCGTCCATTCAGTAAATAATTATGTGCGATTGCTGACTCAGTTGATGAATGTTGAGATTTTATTTTTGAAAGAATACGTCTCCTTCCGGTCCGACTGTGTTCAAGTAAGGCTACTTCAAGGCACCAAACAGAACCTTGCCACGGTTGGTACCGCCCTCAAAGTTATTCTCGTACTCTCATTGGCTTCCATTTCCATATCGTTAACAAAGCGAGTCGCTGATTGGTTTCTCACCAGTCATCGCCCAGCTGTGGGCGAAGACTGGGCAAAGCAGGCAAAGTTCACCAAAGTTCAACAGTTTTCAAGGAAACCACTTCTCACGCAAGGATTGGCTTATCTCACGCACTCACGTAATACGTGTTGAGTTACCCGCTGGTGCTGCCAGAGGGCTGCTTTAATGTGGATTTCCTCTGGACATTAGCAGCTTCTAAACTGTTAACAGCAGAGCTTCCTGTCCAATAGACCAGCTTTGATTTAACTTCTGGAAGTCTCCGGCGGGAAACACGCGCCCCACAAACTCAAAGCTGGTCTATACAAAGATTGTCTACACTGTGGTAGAAGAGACAATCAACCAGACTTACCCAAATACTGACAACAGCCACATGAGTGTAAGTAAGGTTATAGAGGAGTACAGCATCATCTTTTTAATATATTTGAGCGAATTTATATAAAATAACCTGAACTAAAAACAGAAAAAGTCACATGGATGAAAAGAGGAGTGCAGACTCGTCATTTGTGTTCCCCATCTTTGGAGCGAAGGTGTTTTGAGATTTTTACCAAATTGGAATAATTTTCATATATTTTGGACTACTGCTTTGAATTTAATAGTTTTTATAGAAGACAGATGTGAAAACCTTGAAAATTAGATGTGAATTTACTATTTTAGACAGAAAAACCGAGGCTAAACTGAGTCCAGCTGAGTTAGCTTGATTTAACCAGTCAGGGGTCAAGAGGTGAGGAAAAGTTTCAGACTTTTAACTCTTTAACAGATGTTTTTGTTGCTGTGTGTTTAGTTATAAATGTGTCATAATGTTTTATTTTTATCATATTCCCACCATGGTTGTTTTTGCTGATGTCTTTGTAGCATCTTTTATTCTGTATGTGCCACGAAATAGTTTTAATTTTGACACAAACTTTCGGTTTTACAATACAGAAGTTGTAATCCATCTATGTTATAATTTTGAATTTGGTTTAAAAGCAGAGTTTATGTAAAAAGCGTCGCGTCAGCAGGATGAGCGGCGTCGGGCCCAAGTCTTTGTTCTTCCTCGGACTTCCGGATATGACGCAGTTGGTTTGCGTCACGCTGAGTCCGCAGGAGGAAGAGCAGCAGGAGCCCAGGACCAACCAGATCAGGACCTGCAGGTAAACACCGGAAACATCGCTGCTTCCAGCTGAGAGAGGCTGAAGATGTCCGCCATGTTGTCGCCATGTTGTCTCCACAGGGAGCTGGTGCTGCTGCACTCGGACGTCCTGGCCTGTCCTGCTCTGGACTCCATCACTGACGTCACTGCAGTCATGTCTGTGAGACTCACTGCACGTTTGTTGGCATCAATAAGCAGCATTATATTGTTAAACATCATGTTAGAAAAATGGATGGAAATTTGGTAACCTTTTCATTCAGATCAGACATAATTTGGTCTAAATATAAATCATTCGAGCTGAATATTAAGGTTGAACAGCATAAAACTGTAAACATAATAAAAAAACATAAAATAATGGTAATAACTAAATAACTCCCATAATAAAACTACAGCTAATAATAATTCTAGAAATCCAATAAAATACTACTACTAATACTAGTAAATAATGATTATATATATTAAATAACATGTAGGTACCAGACCAAGGATAATTATCATGTAAATAAGTAAATGCGATGAATGAAGATGTAAACTTCAGGCCGAGTTCTGCTGCTGCAGCAGGAAGCTTCTTGTTCCACAGATCTGGAGATTGAGACATTGTGAGGCTGACAGGAACATGAATGATTGTCATGGAAACTTTGCACGCCACCCCGTCTGCTCACACGCTACCTGCATGCGCTGCAGCAGCTGCAGCATGCGCCGCTGCAGCAGCTGCAGCTTGCCTCTGTGACTGAAAACAGAAAACGATTCTAGTAATCATCCCTAATCATAAAATGATTAGAGAAAGTCACATTTCAAAGACTTTAGTTAATGTTGTTTCTAGAAAGTAAAACAGCTGCTGCTGATGAAGGGAAACCCAAACTAACTGACCAGACTGCCTGCAGCAGTCTGACCCGTTCAGTCCAGTCGGTTCTGTTCTCATCAGAGACAGTCAGTGAAAGTTCAGCAAGAAACCAGGACGGAGTGAAGAGCAGCAGCCTTCAGAACGACCCTGCTGAAGGTCACTGCTGTTGGCTCAGAGCGAAGCTTTTAACCTCAATGTCCAACTTCTGATGATTCATGTTGCTGCTTCATGTGCTGTTTGCATGTTACTGTTGCTGTTGCTGCTTCATGTTGCTGCTTCATGTTGCTGCTGCATGTTGCTGCTTCATGTTACTGTTGCATGTTACTGTTGCATGTTGCTGCTGCATGTTACTGTTGCATGTTACTGTTGCATGTTACTGTTGCATGTTGCTGTTGCATGTTACTGTTGCATGTTACTGTTGCATGTTGCTGTTGCATGTTGCTGTTGCATGTTGCTGCTGCATGTTACTGTTGCATGTTACTGTTGCATGTTGCTGTTGCATGTTGCTGTTGCATGTTACTGTTGCATGTTGCTGCTGCATGTTGCTGCTGCATGTTACTGTTTCATGTTACTGTTGCATGTTGCTGCATGTTGCTGTTGCATGTTACTGTTGCATGTTACTGTTGCATGTTGCTGTTGCATGTTACTGTTGCATGCTGCTTGCGCTTCATGTTGCTGCTGCATGTTGCTGTTGCATGTTGCTGTTGCATGTTACTGTTGCATGTTACTGTTGCATGTTACTGTTGCATGTTGCTGTTGCATGTTGCTGCTTCATGTTGCTGTTGCATGTTGCTGTTGCATGTTACTGTTGCATGTTACTGTTGCATGTTACTGTTGCATGTTACTGTTGCATGTTACTGTTGCATGTTGCTGTTGCATGTTGCTGCTTCATGTTGCTGTTGCATGTTACTGTTGCATGTTACTGTTGCATGTACTGTTGCATGTTGCTGCTGCATGTTACTGTTGCATGTTACTGTTGCATGTTGCTGCTTCATGTTGCTGTTGTATGTTTACTGTTGCATGTTGCTGTTGCATGTTACTGTTGCATGTTACTGTTGCATGTTGCTGTTGCATGTTGCTGCTGCATGTTGCTGTTGCATGTTGCTGCTTTCATGGGGAGTCAAACGGCTGATCAGAGAGTAAGAGAGGCAGCACTGATGTAGTTACTGTCTGCAGCCAGCAGGGGTCACCTGATTGTGTGTGCGTTTATCAGTGTGTGTGTTTATCAGTGTGTGTGTTTATCAGTGTGTGTTTATCAGTGTGTGTGTTTATCTGTGTGTGTGTTTATCTGTGTGTGTTTATCTGTGTGTGTTTATCAGTGTGTGTTTATCTGTGTGTGTTTATGCATGTTGCTGTTGCATGTTACTGTTGCATGTTGCTGTTGCATGTTACTGTTGCATGTTACTGTTGCATGTTGCTGTTGCATGTTGCTGCTTCATGTTGCTGTTGCATGTTGCTGTTGCATGTTGCTGCTTCATGTTGCTGTTGCATGTTGCTGTTGCATGTTGCTGTTGCATGTTGCTGTTGCATGTTACTGTTGCATGTTACTGTTGCATGTTGCTGTTGCATGTTGCTGCTTCATGTTGCTGCTTCATGTTGCTGCTGCATGTTACTGTTGCATGTTACTGTTGCATGTTGCTGTTGCATGTTGCTGTTGCATGTTGCTGCTTCATGTTGCTGCTTCATGTTACTGTTGCATGTTGCTGTGTTGGTTGTTGACCCGTTCCTCCATGTCAGGTCCACTTCCTGCAGCGCGGCGTCCTTCAGGCCTTCGCCATCAGAAACCGTCTGCAGGTGAGATCAGACTGCTGTAGTTACTGTCTGCAGCCAGCAGGGGTCACCTGATTGTGTGTGTGTTTATCAGTGTGTGTTTATCTGTGTGTGTGTGTTTATCAGTGTGTGTTTATCTGTGTGTGTGTTTATCAGTGTGTGTTTATCAGTGTGTGTTTATCAGTGTGTGTTTATCTGTGTGTGTGTTTATCTGTGTGTGTTTATCTGTGTGTGTTTATCAGTGTGTGTTTATCTGTGTGTGTTTATCTGTGTGTGTGTTTATCAGTGTGTGTTTATCTGTGTGTGTTTATCAGTGTGTGTTTATCTGTGTGTGTTTATCAGTGTGTGTTTATCAGTGTGTGTTTATCTGTGTGTGTTTATCTGTGTGTGTGTTTATCAGTGTGTGTTTATCTGTGTGTGTTTATCAGTGTGTGTTTTATCAGTGTGTGTTTATCTGTGTGTTTATCAGTGTGTGTTTATCTGTGTGTGTTTATCAGTGTGTGTTTATCAGTGTGTGTTTATCTGTGTGTGTGTTTATCAGTGTGTGTTTATCTGTGTGTGTGTTTATCAGTGTGTGTTTATCTGTGTGTTTATCAGTGTGTGTGTTTATCTGTGTGTGTTTATCAGTGTGTGTGTTTATCAGTGTGTGTGTTTATCAGTGTGTTTATCAGTGTGTGTGTTTATCAGTGTGTGTTTATCAGTGTGTGTTTATCAGTGTGTGTTTATCTGTGTGTGTGTTTATCTGTGTGTGTTTATCTGTGTGTGTTTATCAGTGTGTGTTTATCTGTGTGTTTATCTGTGTGTGTGTTTATCAGTGTGTGTTTATCTGTGTGTGTTTATCAGTGTGTGTTTATCAGTGTGTGTTTATCTGTGTGTGTGTTTATCAGTGTGTGTTTATCTGTGTGTGTGTTTATCAGTGTGTGTTTATCTGTGTGTGTTTATCAGTGTGTGTGTTTATCAGTGTGTGTTATCTGTGTGTGTTTATCAGTGTGTGTTTATCAGTGTGTGTTTATCTGTGTGTGTTTATCAGTGTGTGTTTATCTGTGTGTGTTTATCAGTGTGTGTTTATCAGTGTGTGTTTATCTGTGTGTGTGTTTATCAGTGTGTGTTTATCTGTGTGTGTGTTTATCAGTGTGTTTATCTGTGTGTGTTTATCTGTGTGTGTGTTTATCTGTGTGTGTTTATCTGTGTGTGTTTATCAGTGTGTGTTTATCTGTGTGTGTTTATCAGTGTGTGTTTATCTGTGTGTGTGTTTATCAGTGTGTTTATCTGTGTGTGTGTGTTTATCTGTGTGTGTGTTTATCAGTGTGTGTTTATCTGTGTGTGTGTTTATCAGTGTGTGTTATCTGTGTGTGTTTATCAGTGTGTGTTTATCAGTGTGTGTTTATCTGTGTGTGTTTATCAGTGTGTGTTTATCAGTGTGTGTTTATCTGTGTGTGTTTATCAGTGTGTGTTTATCAGTGTGTGTTTATCAGTGTGTGTTATCAGTGTGTGTTTATCAGTGTGTGTTTATCAGTGTGTGTTTATCAGTGTGTTTATCTGTGTGTGTGTGTGCAGCTGGGCGTTCCCCACACGGTGTTTCCTGGCGACCTGCAGTGCTGCCTCTCTTACTCTCTGATCAGCCGTTTGACTCCCCGCTGGAACAAAGCAGGACTTTACCTGATCTCAGGTAGGCAGAGCAGGCCACGCCCCCTCAGGGTTCAACCAATCAGCTTCAGCCCTGAAAAAACGCCACAAGAATATTTATTCATATCAAGTTTATTTCTTGACAAGATAGTTTTCTGTCGAAATATATTTATGTAAAAATAAATATATCTTTTTAAATAAAAATAAATGTATTGTTACTGTAATACATATCAAAATAAAAAAAGTAATAAAATAAAATCAGAATCTAAAATATGTATAAATAACTAATTAAATTAATTTGAAGTTTATTATAAAATGATGACGATGATAAAACATCAACAGATTTTTTAAAAGCATTAAATAGATAAATAAACAACCTGCAGATCAATTAGATCTATTAAAGCAAATAGAATAAAGTAAATATAATTAATATGGAATAAACTAGAAATAATGTTTAAAAACAATAAATAAATAAATAATATATTTATTGTCCCACAGGATGATTCTGCCACCTCCATGCTTGTTGCTATAGTTACCATCTCCATCTTTGTCTGGTTTGTTCATGGGTCAAAGGTCAGCGGTTTGTTATGCTAAAGCTAGCTGTGGTGCTGTTCAAGCGTCTTCATGACAACAGAGAGCATATTGGGTCATGCTGGTTCCGGTACCAGATCCAGACTGGATGCTGTTCAGAAAAATTATGGATCAATAATCAAAACTATTAAAGTTTGATTGAATTGGGTTGACCTGGTCCTGTTTGCAGGGGCAGACTTCCTGACCCGGCGGGGGACGCTCAGCGCCGTCAGTACGTTCTGCTTCCTGCTCCTCTGCAGCATCGGGTTCTGCCGGCCCGGTAAAGCTAACGGTTCTGATTCTGGTGCAGGTCTGGAGATGAACACCAGTGGTGGTCGGCTGAGCCTCAGCATTGAAGCCAGCGCTGTGAGAACGCCGCCGCCAAAGGTAGGAGGCCCAGAGGGGTGCAGCGGGCCGACCGGAACTAGAACCAGAACATGTCAGTTCTCTGTCTCAGCTGGATGACCTCGGGCTGCCGGCGCCGGTCCTCCAGAGGTTCTGCAGCGACCCGGACTTCATCCTGGACCTGTCCTCCATAGGGGGACCCATCTGGAGCCACGTCCTCCCCAGGTGGGTCGGCGCCACCCGGTGGACAGTCCTGGACCTGACAGAGCGTCAGAGCCAGGACAAAAACTAATCACTTTGTTATGAGAATCAATCAGAAACTAATCACTTATTATGAGGATCAATTAGAAACTAATCACTTTATTATGAGGATCAATTAGAAACTAATCACTTTGTTATGAGGATCAATTAGAAACTAATCACTTTATTATGAGGATCAATCAGAAACTAATCACTTTATTATGAGGATCAATTAGAAACTAATCACTTTGTTATGAGGATCAATCAGAAACTAATCACTTTATTATGAGGATCAATCAGAAACTAATCACTTTGTTATGAGGATCAATCAGAAACTAATCACTTTGTTATGAGGATCAATCAGAAACTAATCACTTTATTATGAGGATCAATCAGAAACTAATCACTTTGTTATGAGGATCAATCAGAAACTAATCACTTTGTTATGAGGATCAATCAGAAACTAATCACTTTGTTATGAGGATCAATCAGAAACTAATCACTTTGTTATGAGGATCAATCAGAAACTAATCACTTTGTTATGAGGATCAATCAGAAACTAATCACTTTGTTATGAGGATCAATTAGAAACTAATCACTTTATTATGAGGATCAATCAGAATCTAATCACTTTGTTATGAGGATCAATCAGAAACTAATCACTTTGTTATGAGGATCAATCAGAAACTAATCACTTTGTTATGAGGATCAATCAGAAACTAATCACTTTATTATGAGGATCAATCAGAAACTAATCACTTTATTATGAGGATCAATTAGAAACTAATCACTTTATTATGAGGATCAATTAGAAACTAATCACTTTATTATGAGGATCAATCAGAAACTAATCACTTTGTTATGAGGATCAATCAGAAACTAATCACTTTGTTATGAGGATCAATCAGAAACTAATCACTTTGTTATGAGGATCAATCAGAAACTAATCACTTTGTTATGAGGATCAATCAGAAACTAATCACTTTATTATGAGGATCAATCAGAAACTAATCACTTTGTTATGAGGATCAATCAGAAACTAATCACTTTGTTATGAGGATCAATCAGAAACTAATCACTTTGTTATGAGGATCAATCAGAAACTAATCACTTTGTTATGAGGATCAATTAGAAACTAATCACTTTATTATGAGGATCAATCAGAAACTAATCACTTTGTTATGAGGATCAATTAGAAACTAATCACTTTATTATGAGGATCAATCAGAAACTAATCACTTTATTATGAGGATCAATTAGAAACTAATCACTTTGTTATGAGGATCAATCAGAAACTAATCACTTTATTATGAGGATCAATCAGAAACTAATCACTTTATTATGAGGATCAATTAGAAACTAATCACTTTATTATGAGGATCAATTAGAAACTAATCACTTTGTTATGAGGATCAATCAGAAACTAATCACTTTATTATGAGGATCAATTAGAAACTAATCACTTTATTATGAGGATCAATTAGAAACTAATCACTTTATTATGAGGATCAATCAGAAACTAATCACTTTATTATGAGGGTCAATCAGAAACTAATCACTTTGTTATGAGGATCAATTAGAAACTAATCACTTTGTTATGAGGATCAATTAGAAACTAATCACTTCATTATGAGGATCAATTAGAAACTAATCACTTTATTATGAGGATCAATCAGAAACTAATCACTTTATTATGAGGATCAATTAGAAACTAATCACTTTATTATGAGGATCAATTAGAAACTAATCACTTTGTTATGCGGATCAATCAGAAACTAATCACTTTATTATGAGGATCAATTAGAAACTAATCACTTTATTATGAGGATCAATTAGAAACTAATCACTTTATTATGAGGATCAATCAGAAACTAATCACTTTATTATGAGGATCAATTAGAAACTAATCACTTTATTATGAGGATCAATCAGAAACTAATCACTTTGTTATGAGGATCAATTAGAAACTAATCACTTTATTATGAGGATCAATTAGAAACTAATCACTTCATTATGAGGATCAATTAGAAACTAATCACTTTGTTATGAGGATCAATCAGAAACTAATCACTTTGTTATGAGGATCAATCAGAAACTAATCACTTTATTATGAGGATCAATCAGAAACTAATCACTTTGTTATGAGGATCAATTAGAAACTAAACTTTATTATGAGGATCAATTAGAAACTAATCACTTCATTATGAGGATCAATTAGAAACTAATCACTTTGTTATGAGGATCAATCAGAAACTAATCACTTCATTATGAGGATCAATCAGAAACTAATCACTTTGTTATGAGGATCAATTAGAAACTAATCACTTTATTATGAGGATCAATTAGAAACTAATCACTTCATTATGAGGATCAATTAGAAACTAATCACTTTATTATGAGGATCAATTAGAAACTAATCACTTCATTATGAGGATCAATTAGAAACTAATCACTTTATTATGAGGATCAATCAGAAACTAATCACTTTGTTATGAGGATCAATTAGAAACTAATCACTTTATTATGAGGATCAATTAGAAACTAATCACTTCATTATGAGGATCAATTAGAAACTAATCACTTTATTATGAGGATCAATTAGAAACTAATCACTTCATTATGAGGATCAATTAGAAACTAATCACTTTATTATGAGGATCAATCAGAAACTAATCACTTTGTTATGAGGATCAATCAGAAACTAATCACTTTATTATGAGGATCAATCAGAAACTAATCACTTTATTATGAGGATCAATCAGAAACTAATCACTTTATTATGAGGATCAATCAGAAACTAATCACTTCATTATGAGGATCAATTAGAAACTAATCACTTTGTTATGAGGATCAATCAGAAACTAATCACTTTATTATGAGGATCAATCAGAAACTAATCACTTTATTATGAGGATCAATCAGAAACTAATCACTTTATTATGAGGATCAATCAGAAACTAATCACTTTATTATGAGGATCAATTAGAAACTAATCACTTTGTTATGAGGATCAATCAGAAACTAATCACTTTATTATGAGGGTCAATCAGAAACTAATCACTTTATTATGAGGATCAATCAGAAACTAATCACTTTATTATGAGGATCAATTAGAAACTAATCACTTTATTATGAGGATCAATCAGAAACTAATCACTTTATTATGAGGGTCAATCAGAAACTAATCACTTTGTTATGAGGATCAATTAGAAACTAATCACTTTATTATGAGGATCAATTAGAAACTAATCACTTCATTATGAGGATCAATTAGAAACTAATCACTTTGTTATGAGGATCAATTAGAAACTAATCACTTCATTATGAGGATCAATTAGAAACTAATCACTTTGTTATGAGGATCAATTAGAAACTAATCACTTCATTATGAGGATCAATTAGAAACTAATCACTTTATTATGAGGATCAATCAGAAACTAATCACTTTATTATGAGGATCAATTAGAAACTAATCACTTGTTATGAGGATCAATTAGAAACTAATCACTTTATTATGAGGATCAATTAGAAACTAATCACTTTGTTATGAGGATCAATTAGAAACTAATCACTTTATTATGAGGATCAATTAGAAACTAATCACTTTATTATGAGGATCAATCAGAAACTAATCACTTTGTTATGAGGATCAATTAGAAACTAATCACTTTATTATGAGGATCAATCAGAAACTAATCACTTCATTATGAGGATCAATTAGAAACTAATCACTTTATTATGAGGATCAATCAGAAACTAATCACTTTGTTATGAGGATCAATCAGAAACTAATCACTTTATTATGAGGATCAATTAGAAACTAATCACTTTGTTATGAGGATCAATTAGAAACTAATCACTTTGTTATGAGGATCAATTAGAAACTAATCACTTTGTTATGAGGATCAATTAGAAACTAATCACTTTGTTATGAGGATCAATCAGAAACTAATCACTTTGTTATGAGGGTCAATCAGAAACTAATCACTTTGTTATGAGGATCAATTAGAAACTAATCACTTTATTATGAGGATCAATCAGAAACTAATCACTTTGTTATGAGGATCAATCAGAAACTAATCACTTTGTTATGAGGATCAATTAGAAACTAATCACTTTGTTATGAGGATCAATCAGAAACTAATCACTTTGTTATGAGGATCAATTAGAAACTAATCACTTTGTTATGAGGATCAATCAGAAACTAATCACTTTGTTATGAGGATCAATTAGAAACTAATCACTTTGTTATGAGGATCAATCAGAAACTAATCACTTTGTTATGAGGGTCAATCAGAAACTAATCACTTTGTTATGAGGATCAATTAGAAACTAATCACTTTATTATGAGGATCAATTAGAAACTAATCACTTTGTTATGAGGATCAATTAGAAACTAATCACTTTATTATGAGGATCAATTAGAAACTAATCACTTTGTTATGAGGATCAATCAGAAACTAATCACTTTGTTATGAGGGTCAATCAGAAACTAATCACTTTGTTATGAGGATCAATTAGAAACTAATCACTTTATTATGAGGATCAATTAGAAACTAATCACTTTGTTATGAGGATCAATTAGAAACTAATCACTTTATTATGAGGATCAATTAGAAACTAATCACTTTATTATGAGGATCAATCAGAAACTAATCACTTTATTATGAGGGTCAATCAGAAACTAATCACTTTATTATGAGGATCAATCAGAAACTAATCACTTTGTTATGAGGATCAATTAGAAACTAATCACTTTATTATGAGGATCAATCAGAAACTAATCACTTTATTATGAGGATCAATTAGAAACTAATCACTTTGTTATGAGGATCAATCAGAAACTAATCACTTTGTTATGAGGATCAATTAGAAACTAATCACTTTGTTATGAGGATCAATTAGAATCTAATCACTTTGTTATGAGGATCAATCAGAAACTAATCACTTTATTATGAGGATCAATTAGAAACTAATCACTTTGTTATGAGGATCAATTAGAAACTAATCACTTTATTATGAGGATCAATTAGAAACTAATCACTTTATTATGAGGATCAATCAGAAACTAATCACTTTATTATGAGGATCAATCAGAAACTAATCACTTTGTTATGAGGATCAATCAGAAACTAATCACTTTATTATGAGGATCAATTAGAAACTAATCACTTTATTATGAGGATCAATTAGAAACTAATCACTTTATTATGAGGATCAATTAGAAACTAATCACTTTATTATGAGGATCAATCAGAAACTAATCACTTTGTTATGAGGATCAATCAGAAACTAATCACTTTATTATGAGGGTCAATCAGAAACTAATCACTTTATTATGAGGATCAATTAGAAACTAATCACTTTATTATGAGGATCAATTAGAAACTAATCACTTTATTATGAGGGTCAATCAGAAACTAATCACTTTATTATGAGGATCAATCAGAAACTAATCACTTTATTATGAGGATCAATTAGAAACTAATCACTTTGTTATGAGGATCAATTAGAAACTAATCACTTTATTATGAGGATCAATTAGAAACGAATCACTTTATTATGAGGATCAATTAGAAACTAATCACTTTATTATGAGGATCAATTAGAAACTAATCACTTTGTTATGAGGATCAATTAGAAACTAATCACTTTATTATGAGGATCAATTAGAAACTAATCACTTTATTATGAGGATCAATTAGAAACTAATCACTTTGTTATGAGGATCAATCAGAAACTAATCACTTTATTATTAGGATCAATTAGAAACTAATCACTTTATTATGAGGATCAATCAGAAACTAATCACTTTATTATGAGGATCAATCAGAAACTAATCACTTTATTATGAGGATCAATTAGAAACTAATCACTTTATTATGAGGATCAATTAGAAACTAATCACTTCATTATGAGGATCAATTAGAAACTAATCACTTTATTATGAGGATCAATCAGAAACTAATCACTTCATTATGAGGATCAATTAGAAACTAATCACTTTATTATGAGGATCAATCAGAAACTAATCACTTTATTATGAGGATCAATTAGAAACTAATCACTTTATTATGAGGATCAATCAGAAACTAATCACTTTATTATGAGGATCAATTAGAAACTAATCACTTTATTATGAGGATCAATCAGAAACTAATCACTTCATTATGAGGATCAATTAGAAACTAATCACTTTATTATGAGGATCAATCAGAAACTAATCACTTCATTATGAGGATCAATCAGAATATTAACAGAAATCCTGATTTATGACTAAAAGTTTTTAATCAGGTTTTCTAAACTAAAATCGGATTCATTTCCGTCCTGCTGTTGTAATGTGATCCTCTGGCCAGCAGGTGGAGCCGCTGCTCTGAGTTCATGGCTGTTTTTCTGTGCAGCATGAAGAAGGGTCAGATCATCAGCATCAGCCACCAGCTGCCCAGAGACGGACCCTTCAGGACCTACGGAGACCTTCAGAACCACTGGAACCGCCTGGTACCGCCCGACCCGGCCCGCACTGTCAGAACCTCGCTCTGCCTTTCTGTGGAACCAGACTGGTTGATTCCAGTGGCTGGAATCAACCCAGTGGTTGTTGGTTTGATCCCCAGTATGGCTACCGGCTGCCGGAGCTGGAGGGGGGCGGAGTCTACTGCAGCGTCTACTTCAGGCCGGTGGGAGAGAAACTCTTCACGTATCCAAACGTAGATTCAGTGCCTAGAAGCTGCACAGAGCAGCAGAGCATAGAAACCCTCAACTAGATATCACTGGTTATTAAAGCACTTTATTTCTGTCATTATTATTATTGTTGTTATTACCAAACGTCGTTCCTTCACTCCCACCGCTCAGTTACCCTCTCAGCTGCATCCGCCTGCAGCCTGTGCAGCGCTGCCCCGGGGGCGACCTGCAGGGGGCGCTGGCCCGCTTCCTGGCCGACAGCAGAGAGCGGCTGCAGAGCGTGTGTGGCTTCCCGACCCGTCTGACCAGTAAACCCAGTTACCCGCGGCCGGCCTGACCACCGCTGCCTCCATGCAGGTAGGAGCTGCAGCGCTGCTCGGTTCAGTCACACATAAAGTTATTTCCCAGGAAATATAGAAAAATAAAAGGTTTTGAAAGAAAATTTAAATTTAAAATCAAACTTTTTAAATTCTTAGATAAATTCATGTTTCTTTCTTCAGGTTTCAGACATTTGAGAAACATAAAACTAAATATTCTTTTTGTTTGTTTTACCAGTAAGTTTCTTTCTTTGTATTCTTCATCATTTTAATTTGTTCAAAAAGGTTTTTTGTTGCTTCAGTTCTGAACAACTGCAGGGAAAATAATGATTTTTTTTTTGTCAACAACAGTAAACTAATTCAGGAGGTTCTTCCTGGTTGTCAGCGCCTACTGAGCGCGCTCACAGCTGCTCAAGCAGCGGCCAATAGGAGGAGAGGAAGAATGCCATGTTCAGAAAACAAGACAAACAGAAAATAAACAACTTTCAAACTGCAAAACCAGCTACAGCTGATAGTTTATCCTAAAATAAACAATAACAATTATGATTAATAACATTCTCTCTAGCAAAACAGAAATAATAATGCTATGCAAATGACATAATAAATAAATAAATGATGCAGCTTGTTTGCTGCATCCTCTAATTGTTGTGGATGAAAATGATTAGCATTGTGAAATTAGAGCAGCTGTTACTGTACTGCCCTCTTGTGGAAGAACCAGGAAGTTGAAACAAAAAGGGAGAAATAATTTCAGTAATTTATTAATCTGAATGTTTATGATGTAAATAGATGGAGGTCGTGTGTCCTAACCGTGAGAATAGAAGTGGTTTTATTTCCCAGCCATTCCTGTAGCTTCCTGTATCCTCCCTGCTGAGCGTGGAGCTGCAGGAAATGTGATTATTCGCGCGTTTCCAGCCAATAAAACCTTCAGACAGTTTAACAACCTCAGAGCAGCGAAACTTCTTCCTCTGCATCTCCTGAATTAACATTCCTGACGTCAGTGGAGTGAAAGAAGCTTCTCCTCATGAGGTTTGGTGAAGAATTGACTGAATCCTCATTTTAATGCAGAATATTCTTCTTTATGCGCCGTAATAAAAGCGTTTCTCAGCAGCAGCCAGGCGCCGTAAAGCAGCTGCAGATCTTCCTGCAGGTTGAGCATCAAAGCTGCTGAAATTAAAGCCATCCTTCATCCAGAGTGTTAGAGGAGGGAGAAGGCCGTCAGAAACTCTGTAGAGACGAGTTCAGCTCCCACAGAGTTGGGCTAAAATATTCATGCCGCTCAGCCCAGCTCCATCTGAACTCAGGCGTTTCATTCTCACTTCAAAGGTGGAAATTTCTGCTGGTTTTCAGCCTGGAAGGTGAAGCTGAGCGGAAGAAATGATTGCACTTTTCCTTTTGTCCTCATTAAAAGAAGGCACTTAAAATCAGCTGTACTATTATTTTATCAGATTATTGTTGTCTTTCTCTTCCTATTTCTCTGTTAAATGAGTTTCAGTCTCTGTTGCCCGTAGTTACATTTAAATGTCTGTTTTCTCCGTATCTGGGCGACCCGACCAGAATCACTTGCACAGACCTGCACATGTTTCAGTTTAACCTCAGCTCTGATGTTTGTAGCAACCAGATGTTCTGGAAAACAGCAACATCTAGAAAATATTTACTCCATGTGGAACAAGGTCAAAGGTCACAACATTTTCACCTCCGTCTCCTTTCATTAAAATGTCTGAAAGCCTCAGAATAAATTCATAATTAGAAACATTAGAACATTCTCAATGAAATGTTAGAGATTATAAATGTAAACATTTCAGCCACCATCAGTGTAAATTTAGCTGTGATGCTAATCAGACACACCAGGCACTTAGGGAATGAAACAGACTTTTCATTCTCAGTATGTTGATTATTGATGCTTCTCTGTTTTTGTTATTGAATCAGAACATTATCGAACAGCCATTTTATTTCATCACCATGGTTTTTAAAATACAGCTAACAGTGACAGTATATCCAGGGCCTATTGCAGAGCCCTAGTATGTATTTATTTAGTAATCATTTGATTCAGATCTCCATAATCAAAGTACATGGAAAGAATGAAATAATGTTTTCTAAAATTATACCTAAATTTTACATATTTATTTTTATTACTAGTTTTACTCATTTCTATTTCTAACTTCAAAATCAGAAGTAACTTTTTGGGTTTTGGTCCCAAACAACCTGGTTAAGATTATTTATGGAGTTTATCAGCATTGTGACCCAGGTGTAGTTCACACTCCGACCACCAGGAGGAACCAAAGCACTTCTAATAGTTTCCTCTATGAGAGGAGCATTAATCCGCCCAGCTTTGACCTATTGGTTGTTTTCAGGTGTGATGCTGATTCCATAAAGACCTGAACCTCCAGGTGATCACGAAGAATCGTTTCCTTCCTCAGGTTCTGAGTTGGGACCAGATCAACCTGACCACCGGGCCGGTTCTGTCCCAGCAGGCGCCGTCCTGCCGGGCGGACCCGCCCGCCTGGGTCCCCCTGTCCCAGCAGGGCGGCGCTCTTCCAGGAAGCAGATCTGGGAAGTGGCTGTGGCGCCGTCCAGAGGACCGGTCGGCCCACCCGTCCTCCAGTCAGAACCAGGACCAGTCGGACCGCTCCCTGCCCGTTTCCTCTTTCTCCCAACACTTCCAGCCGGCTTCATCCCTCCCTCCTCTTCCAGCCCAGTCCGGTCCCAGTGAACCCGCCTCCCAAACTGGTTCCCATCTTCAGGAACAACGACCCGACCCGCCGGCTCAGCGTGGCTCTGCTGCGAGTCCAGAACCGGCGGAACGGAGGAACGGAGGACAAACGCAGACTCACCCTGCCGCTTCCTGCCGGGTCACAGGTCACACCTTCCTCCTCCTCTTCCTCCGCCGCGCCCCTCCCTCCTCCTCCTCGCCTCGTCCCTCGCTTCGCCCTCCGCCCCAAAAGCCCGGAGCGCCGCCGTTTCCCCGACGTCGGGTCAGTCCAGGGTCACCCGGATCTCCAGCCTCAGCCCGGTGTTCAAGGCGAAAGCCGCCGTCATCCTCCCACCCAGAACCAAACCCCAAACCCAGCAGAACCTCTGGGACGGTCCGACCCGAACGGGCCGCCAACTGCTGGAAGGCAGCGGGACCCAAAAACCGTCGTCCCCAGAACCATCATGAAGACCAGCAGAGAGGCCGGGCCTGAAGGCAGCACCGAGCCAGAACCGACCCGGTATCAGAGGGAGACCGCGCCAGCAGCAGGAAGGTTGGTCCAGAAAGTTCTGGTTCTGTTCTAGAAGGAATTTAATGGCATCATTTTGTTAGAACCTTAAGATGTTGTTTTGTTCTGTCCAGACGGTCGCCTTCGAGCTGCAAGAGAAACCAACAAGTCCAAAGTTCTAGAGGAAGACGTGGAGAAAATGGCCAGAAGCAACCAGGTGAGACGGACCGACCCGGTTCTGCAGACGACCCGGTTCTGCAGATCGACCCGGTTCTGCAGACAACCCGGTTCTGTAGACCGACCCGGTTCTGCAGGAAAAACTGATTTAAAAACTCCGATGAAAGCTAAAACCCAATCAGCTCTTGTTCTGGAGGCCGGCTGGTTGAACTGGACCTCAGAGGTTCTGACCTGGGTGGGAACATTAGAGCTAACTTTAGCTTAGCGCTTAGCTTTCCTGCTAACGTGGAAAACATTTAGCGCAGTTAGCTCCAGTAAACTGCATGTTCTAAACACCTCAGGGTGAGGTATCGCAGTGTGTTAGAGTGATGAACAGCGACAGAAGGCCTCTGCGCTGCGGCTACAAATTTTAAATACTTTATTAATCCCAAAGTGATAGACAGTGATGGACGATCCGGCGGCGGCTCGCTGAACGTTAATATCAACATGAGGTTGTAGTGTGATGTCAGCGCTGATGTCAGCGCTGCCTCATGACCTCATGACCTCACGGCTCCCTCTCTCCTCCCTCCCAGTGGGCCGGGCTCAGCGGCGGCCTCCCTGCTGCTGTGGCTCAGGAACAGAGGAATCCCTGTGAGCTCCAAGCTGAGGAAGGAGGAGCTGATGATGAAGGTGATAGGCTGCCTGGCCGAGGCCTGAGCCCTGATTGGACGGCGCCACAGCCAATCACAAAACGGTAAAATCACCCAGCAGCTGCCTGCTGGGAAGATTTAGTTGGTTCATTTAAGACAGCACATTTATATTATTTCTTTGTTATTTTATTCATTATTCTCGCTGTATTGTTATTAAAAAAAGAAATGTATAGCATTTTAAATTATTATTTTTTCTCTTTATTTGTTTTAGTTTTATTTTGATTGCAAACATTAATATTCATTTTTGGGTTTATTTTAAAAGTAGTTTTGTAGATTATTATTTATTTTGTATTGGTTTTAATTAAATAAATTGAGGTTAACAGGAGATCATTGTTCCTAAACAAGTTTTATCATTTTCAGCTACAAAAAGCTTTAAGTTTATAAAATCTGTTTTTTAAGCTAAATTTTCTGCTAAATGTTCAGAATGTTTTTGCATTTGTTTAAATATTTATTGAGCTTAAAAGTTCCTGGTTACATTTTAAAACTATTTTTTGTTTCAGGGACATTTATCGCATATTCAGCGTTTTGAAAGAGTTTTACTTTCCTAAAGTTGGTTACAAAATGAAACCTGTAAGTTATAAAAATCCTGTTTTGTGAAAGTTTTTTCTGTTTTGTATTTATTACATATTTAAACTGAAGTTTCTTGTTTTGTGTTCATGATTGTACAATAATATTTATTAATTTAATTTATCTGACAACTGAAATATCAGATGGAAAACGTGACGGTTCTGAGATTTAACTCTAAACTCTGGACTGCTTTTGGTTCTGTTGGACCAAAAGTAGACAGGAAATGGAAATTGGTGAGAATAATTAGTGAAAGAATTAGAGACGTCAGGAGCTGGAGAACATCTGCTAGGAATCAAACTGGCTGCTTTCCAGCGACTGGGGTGATTAATGGGCAGGAGAACCAGGAGCCAAGAATCTCAAACTGAGGAATGAAGTGAGTACGGCACCAGGGAGGGACAAAACCCTAAAAAGCAAAAACTCAAAGCGGTAAAAACTTCCTGATGAATCCAAAAAGCTCCAGATGGAGGATCAACTTCCTGCAGAGGAGAAACGGACCTGTATGTAAAGTTTTGACCCGCTGTGGATTCATGCAGATGAAACATTCAAACCGATGGAATGGAAGGAATCAATAAATAAAACTATTGATTACAAACATTAATAATAATCACCTTGATTAAAACGTCTAGATTCTCTGCCCACTGATTCTACTGAAGATTTTCTTCAGACATGCAGCGAACCCGTCGGTTCCGACCCAGAACGCTGACAGAGGGAACCGGTCGGATCGGCGCCGGTCCAGACCAGAACAAAGACGCTTCTGTTTGAGGACAGAAACGAACCGAGAGATTTACGACCAGAGAAACGGTCGGGTTTTCACCGAGACGATCCAAACTCATAAATCACAGAGCATGAAGCCGAGGTTCTGCAGAGATCCGGATCCGACCCGCAAACTACAGGAACCACCGGAGAAAAGAATGTCATGCAGAATCACACAGCAGAAAAAGCAAACGCTGCGGGTCATTAAAACAGCCAAGATTGAATTATATTCATAAGAAAATGAGATGCAGCAGATTGTTTCTGTTTAAATTAATTAATATTATTAATAATATTATTCTAGTTCACTGCTGGATCCTGTTTAACAGAACAGATTTATAGAAAATCTATTAATAACTTCATCTCATAGAAACAGAATAATTCACATAAGCTGCTGTTTTATAGCCTTTATTTTGACTAATTATAATTTTAATAAAAACATTTAGGATTAGAATATTTTATTGCAGAAATTAAAAGTATGTGATTTAACTAATCGAGGTTTAGTTTGTCTAAAATGTTGATCAATATTTAGAGTAAAACACTTTCTGTTATTAGTTCTGATGTTTTTCATCTGAAGCTGAAAGTTTTTCCATAATTCTTGAATAAACTCAGTAAATCTTTAACTGGAAACCTGCCTGAAAAAATGCAATAAATATCAGTTTTTATTTTAGTTCATTACACAAACCTGAGCAGTTTTGATCTTTATTTAAACCGTTTCTCCTCTGTAACTTCAGTTTGTTCAATAAAACCTTATTTTCCTGGTTTTCCTCAGCAGAGAAATCGATTCATTCTCCTGGTTTTTATTAAATCTGAGTAAAAAGCTTCCAGTACCTGCAGGTTTGCAGCTCAGCCCTCTTTCTGTTGCTTTTATTTTGGGCTGTTTTTAAACAAACATGGACATTTCTCAGGATTTCGGCTTAAATTCTGATCTCGTTCCTGCAGACGTAAACCATCCGTCTCTCTGTGGGAAAGTCGTTTCCTCCTCCTCGCTGAAATCCTCTGGCTCAGAAGCGGCGAAGGCGTTTTTATCTGACATGATGAATATTTTCCCAGCAGCCATAACTCATCATGAGTCGCTCTGGAAATATTTCCTTTGTGTTCCTGCGAGCGCCTGCAGCTGAAATATGACTTTCATTAATCAGGAGGAATGTCGGGTTCTTCTTCTTGTGCGGTAACGAGGCGCTTCGTTTGTTTTCTTCCCTTTAAGCTGTGAGAAACCAGGACAGGAAGTGATGTCACGGTGAAGGATTTGGTTTGTTGTGATGCGTTTCCTGTCAGTTTCAGCGGCGGCGGCGTTCTCTGCCTGTTTGAACTGGATGTTTGTGCTGCGTTTGTGGCGCAGAAACAGAAGCTCCTGTTGGAGCCCGTCCAGAACCCGAGGCGGCTGTAACCTTACACCAACAGTTGGTTTGACCTCTGACCTGCTGCAGGTCACAGGTCCTGCAGGAAATTAGCTCCACTGTGGGAAACTGAGAGGCTCAGGAGAGAAACCGTCTGGAAAACAGAACCTGTCAAACCTGTTTGGGTCCGGATCCGGTCTGGTTCATATCCAGTTGCTCTGACTGGAAGCGTTTCGTTGTTAATCCCAGTGGAACCAGCAGCTTTCAGGCTGGGAGGATTTTATAAACTGGGAGTGAAAAACGACAGAATGAGAGAAACGACAGACGAAACGTTTCTCCCCAGGATGAGGGGATTTTTTACCAAAATGAAAAGTTTTTGCATCACATTAGTCATTATCAACAGCCGATGCGACCACTGATGGAGACGATGAAGAAGATGACAGGAAGTGGCATCAGGTTGATGGTGCAGCATGATTTAACCGTGAACAAACTTATTGAGCATTTTAATCTCATTAAGTTTTAATCTCTATAAGTTTTAATCTCATTAAGTTTTAATCTTTATAAGTTTTAATCTCTATAAATTTTAATCTCATTTCTTTTTTGCGATTATGAAAATTAGTTTTTGGACATTAGCAGGAAATTAACAAAGTCTCTTTGTTCTGACTGATTCAGTCCATTCAGAATCCAAATCCGGACCAGGAAACGATCCGGTTCTGGACGGGAAATGAAGGAGCAGAACCAGAGAACATTAGTGATCTGTTGTAGAAATCAGAAAACTTGAGTTTAATTGATCAGCCATTGGATTCCTGATGATTTGCTGAATCCTGTCTGATTGGAGGAAAACCTGGAGGAATCCCAGCCGGGCTCCAGGATCCGGTGGATCCAGGATCCGTGTTTGTCCTTAGACCAGAACCGGCCCGGATCCACTTGGTTCTGCTGCTTTAGACGTTTCTGTAACAAAGAGCCTGAAGGATCATTTGGTCTGATTCTGCTGGAGGGAAGAAAACCAGGCGACCTCTGACCTCTGCTTACAAGTTAGTATTGATGAACGCCTTTTGTCAGTTCAGTGGAATATTATCAACATTCTGTTTCTGTTTCAGATTCTAAAACTCAATGGCTTCATTACCTCCTCCTGGTTCTCCAGAACCTTAATCACCTGTTATTGTATTCAGGTGGTTCAGCAGAGGCTCATCTAAAGGTTGCAGGACTGGATGTCGACTCCCCTGTTCTAAATATTTGATCCCTTTAAAGCCAAATGAAAGTTAAAATAATAAAATTAAAATATACATTTTCAGAGGAAATCTTAAATAAATCAAAAGCACATAAAGAGCAACAAAGTAACAAAACTGAATATTTCATTTAAAAATTATACATAAAATTGATCTTAATACAATTATTGCATAAAAACAGGAGAATGAAGAAAAGCTGATTCTAAAGAAATCTGTTCCAAACCTGGGTCCAATAAACTACATATTAATATGATATTAATATGTAGTTTATTATGGAGTTAAACACATTAAACTATTTAATATGTAATTCACTCAGATTTAGTCAGAAGGTTTTAACCTGAAGCTCTTTCTGATCCGTTCTTTGTGAAGCTCAGGATGTTTTATGAAGTTATTTCATAAACTTAACGGATTACAGAACCAGGTTTTTCCGGGTCAGAACCAGAACTGAACTCCTGGATGTTTCTGTTTGTAGTTTTATTTTATTTGAAGGATTTGATTTTGTGGAGAACAAATGAATCTTGATTCAGATCTGATTCATTTCCAGAACCAAAAATAAGATTTTCTTTCTGAGCAGGAAGATAAACTCTGTTTCTAGTAAAAGTTCTGTGGAAGCTGCAGGACGGTTCTGACCCGTCTGGGGCTGCAGGACGGTTCTGACCCGTCTGGGGCTGCAGGACGGTTCTGACCCGTCTGGGGCAGCAGGACGGTTCTGACCCGTCTGGGGCTGCAGGACGGTTCTGGTCCGTCTGGGTCTGCAGGACGGTTCTGACCCGTCTGGGGCTGCAGGACGGTTCTGACCCGTCTGGGTCAGCAGGACGGTTCTGACCCGTCTGGGGCTGCAGGACGGTTCTGACCCGTCTGGGTCAGCAGGACGGTTCTGACCCGTCTGGGGCAGCAGGACGGTTCTGACCCGTCTGGGTCAGCAGGACGGTTCTGACCCGTCTGGGGCAGCAGGACGGTTCTGGTCCGTCTGGGTCTGCAGGACGGTTCTGATCCGTCTGGGTCTGCAGGACGGTTCTAGTCCGTCTGGGTCTGCAGGACGGTTCTGTCCGTCTGGGGCTGCAGGACGGTTCTGACCCGTCTGGGGCTGCAGGACGGTTCTGACCCGTCTGGGGCTGCAGGACGGTTCTGACCCGTCTGGGGCTGCAGGACGGTTCTGGTCCGTCTGGGGCTGCAGGACGGTTCTGACCCGTCTGGGTCTGCAGGACGGTTCTGGTCCGTCTGGGGCTGCAGGACGGTTCTGACCCGTCTGGGGCTGCAGGACGGTTCTGACCCGGCGGGTTCATAACTCAGAACCAGCTGGCTGTGAAATTAGCGGCTCTGCTATCAGCTTATCGTTAATGAAAGCAGAGCAGCAGAGAGGAGGAGTCGGACCGACACGCTGTGGTTAGTGGGCAGCACAGCCTGCTCCAGTTAAACTGGTTTATGACCAGTGAGAAGGGGGCGGGGCTACTGGGAAAACCACAGCAAATCGGAACCAGATGCTTCTGTTTGGGCCCAGAGAGGAAAATGCTGCAGGAATGTTTCCACTGTCTACTGGGACCAGAACGACCCACTGCTGAAACGGGTCCAAACTGGATCAAACCAGGACCTAACAGCAGTTCTACAACAAGATGACTGAAGATGGAATCAGGTCCTGCAGTGGCCTAGTCAAAGTCCAGGCTTCAACCTGACGGAAATGTTCTGGTTGGATCAGATCAAGAGCATCAAGAGTCGAGATGGAAAATGAAAGCAGCATCAGCCTGATGCTGCCGCTTCGTTAACGCCTCCATCCTGCCGTGAGGAGACAGAGAGCGTCCTGTAGGGGGACAGAGAGCGTCCTGTAGGGGACAGAGAGCGTCCTGTAGGGGGACAGAGAGCGTCCTGTAGGGCGCTCTCTGTCCCCTAATGGCGCCCCTACAGGACGCTCTCTATCCCCTCATGGCGCCCCCTACGGGACGCTCTCTGTCCCCTCATGGCGCCCCCTACAGGACGCTCTCTATCCCCTCATGGCGCCCCCTACGGGACGCTCTCTGTCCCCCTACAGGACGCTCTCTGTCCCTCAGGACGCCCCCTACAGGTCGCTCTCTGTCCCCTCATGGCGCCCCCTACAGGACGCTCTCTGTCCCCTAATGGCGCCCCTACAGGACGCTCTCTGTCCCCTCACGGCGCCCCCTACAGGACGCTCTCTGTCCCCTCACGGCGCCCCCTACAGGACGCTCTCTGTCCCCTCACGGCGCCCCCTACAGGACGTTCTCCTCTCTGACGGTTCTGCACTCCAAGCATCTTGGAGTGAAAGAAACAAGAAGAAATTATTTTTACCAAGACGCTGAACAAATAAAAACTGTTTACTGATTCTGGTCGGGTTTGTAATCCGGACCGAGCAGAACCAACCTGACGAGCTGAGATCCGGTTCCTGAAGCCCAGATCAGAACAGCTGAGGGTGAAAACACACTCCGAACCCAACAGACGGACCGCCAGAATAAAAGCATCAAACGGCTGAACGGCGTCAGAATGGCCCGGCCCAGTTCTTCAGAACCGGCCCGGATCTATTTATGCCCTCCAGCTTTATGCAAATGAGGCTCATAAATATTAATAAGTTTTTATTTCCAAATCAGAAAATGAAAACAAACAGAAGAGAAAGAAACTCTGGAGTTATTCTGCTGAGAACAGAACCAGAACCGACCCGGTTCTTTGTCTCCTGCTCTGAATGTTGGACCTGCATCAGATCCAGGTTCTGGACGTTTCCAGGTGAATCCACACCTGAAGTTGCCATGGCAACACGTTTGTTGTTCTTTGGTTTCTTGGTTTTTCTAAAGTCAAACGGGTCAACAGAACCGACTGATGGACCGAACCCGGTTCTTTCTCAGAAGTTTCTGTTTTCTTGGTTCTATACTTACTGCACCTGCTGCTCCACAGAACCCCAGAACCAGAGGGTCCAGAACCAGCACCAGAACCAGAGGAACCAGAACCAGAGGAACCAGAACCAGCAAGACCAGAACCAGAGGAACCAGAACCAGCATCAGAACCAGAGGGTCCAGAACCAGCACCAGAACCAGGGTCCAGAACCAGCAGGACCAGAACCAGAGAACAGAACCAGAGGGTCCAGAACCAGCAGGACCAGAACCAGAGGGTCCAGAACCAGATTCTGGTTCTGGTTCCTCTGGTTCTGGTTCCTCTGGTTCTGACCCACATCGGTTGTGTCTCGGTTCTGATGCTTGTTTTTAATGGAGCTGCTGGGATCCGTCAGCGAGTCGTCGCTCGGTGCTGTAGGACCGGATCCGCTCCTCTGATGTCGGGTTTCTGGTCCAGTCGGTTCTGTTCCGACCCGTTCCTGGAACCGATCTCGACCAGAAACTGATGGTGGCTGTTTGTCCTGATTGATAAAATGCAGAGAAATATTGGAGACCTAACCAACCAGCACCACATAGACAGATGATGTGAGTTCTGGTCCAGTTCTGACCAGCATTATGTCACAGAATCAATAAGTTACTGATTCACCTTTAAATCTAATTATTTACAATCAATTTCTGGCCTGATCAAATCAGATTTATGATGTTATCAATATTTGTCAGCTGAGCCTCCAGGTTCCTTCTGATGTTTTATTTTGGGGGGGAACGTTTCTGGAGGATCTTCATCTCCCTCCTCATCATCAGGTCAGAACTCAGGAATATTAATATTAATATTAATATTAATATTGATATGAATATTAATATGAGCTGCAGTCGGTTTAAATCTCCCAGTTTTATTCCAGTTCATCCTGAGAAACAACAAATTCAACAGATTTTCATCAGTTTATTCAGAGCAACATGTTTTAGTTTATTGTATTAATTATTCTTAAAGCACCAGAGGAAAACTGGTTTTAATAAATTGAAGTTGAACTTTGTGACCCAGAGAGAAAAACAAAAAACCATCAAATCATTTTCAGATGGAGATGAAAATAAACGTTAAAATAAAATTAATTTTAACATGAAACTCATCCAACTTCAAACTGATTTTATTTTAAAACAAACTTTAATTTATTTTATTAACCTGTTGTAAATTTACAGCCAAACATCCTTCAAATAAACACAAATATCATCAAATTCATGTAGAAATTAATTTGTTTCTGGTGAAATTTAGTTGGATTTTTCTCTTTCCTATTTTATGGACGACAGAAAAATGTTCAACATTGAAATTATTAATTAAGCAACAAAATATTTTATGAAGCAAAGAAACATTTTATTTAATAATCCGTTTTTCAGAAGCTAAAAATGTTTATTTTCTCCTTGAATGAGAAAAGAATAAATCTCACTGAGACGAACGAGCAGAACCTGCTAACGAGTCACCATGCTAACGAGTCACCATGCTAACGAGTCACCTTGCTAACCAGTCACCATGCTAACGAGTCACCATGCTAAACGAGTCACCTTGCTAACCAGTCACCATGCTAACGAGTCACCATGCTAACGAGTCCCTTGCTAACGAGTCACCTTGCTAACGAGGTACCATGCTAACGAGTCACCATGCTAACGAGTCACCTTGCTAACGAGGCTAACTGCCTGTCCTCCCGTTGCCATGGTTACCGGCTGGCTGAGGAAGAGGAGGGGCGGAGCCTAACGGATCCCAGCAGATCCTAACGGATCCTCGTTACCAAATTCTGCTTTAAGAAGAAACAATCCTGCAGGTTTTTGGTTCCCAGATTCATCAAAATCACAATCAGTTTTACAAACTGACTATTAAGATTCTGCAGGACCACGAAGAAACTCAGAACCATCCGGTTCTGATCCGCAGGGATCCGTTCTGGTTTGTTTCCAAATCACCAACATCTGTTTGTAAAATATCTGGATTTTCTCTGCAGGTTAAACTAAAAGTTTTCATGTTGGTGAAAAATCTCCAAAAGTTCATAAAGTTCAAAAGTTTGACTCAGACGAGAAATTATTTCCAGACGTTCTGCGTCACAGCGGCCCGGTTCTGGAGTCATCATGAGGTTCTGGAGTCATCATGAGGTTCTGGAGTCATCATGAGGTTCTGGAGTCATCATGAGGTTCTGGAGTCATCATGAGGTTCTGGTGTCCTGACCGGGTTCTGAGTTGCTCGATCCTCATGAGGACATTTTGCTCTCAGAAGTTCAGCGCCGTGTGGACGCGCTCTGGGTGGACGCGCTCCGTGTGGACGCGCTCCGGGTGGACGCGCTCCGTGTGGACGCTGCGGGTGGACGCGCTCCGTGTGGACGCGCTCCGGGTGGACGCGCTCCGGGTGGACGCGCTCCGTGTGGACGCTGCGGTGGACGCGCTCCGTGTGGAACGCGCTCCGGGTGGACGCGCTCCGGGTGGACGCGCTCCGTGTGGACGCGCTGTGGGTGGACGCGCTCCGGGTGGACGCGCTCCGGGTGGACGCGCTCCGGGTGGACGCGCTCCGGGTGGACGCGCTCCGTGTGGACGCGCTCCGGGTGGACGCGCTCCGGGTGGACGCGCTCCGGGTGGACGCGCTCCGTGTGGACGCGCTCCGGGTGGACGCGCTCCGGGTGGACGCGCTCCGGGTGGACGCGCTCCGTGGACGCGCTCCGGGTGGACGCGCTCCGGGTGGACGCGCTCCGGGTGGACGCGCTCCGGGTGGACGCGCTCCGGGTGGACGCGCTCCGGGTCGTTGTTTGTCCACTTCCTGTCCTCAGGAGCCACTTCCTCCTGCATCAGGGCCCTGAGGACGGCGAGGAGGCGCCGATGGACCCGGCGGGCTCCGCCCTCGTCCTCGGCGCCGCCGTCGGTCTCGGAGCAGTCCTGCACGGCTCGCTGCAGCTCCACCTGTTGAACGAAAACGGATCAGAAGAATCATGGAAAGGATCTGATGATGGTCACTGGAGACAGAGGAAGCAGCAGCGACCTGTAGGTGGCGCTGATATGTTTTAATAACCTGCAAACCCAAAAACTCACGAGAACAAGAAGAACATTTCAGATCCACTTTACAACAAACCAATGAAAACTAAATATTTTATTTTGGGACCAAAAATGTTTTATAAACGGCTGGAAGGAGATGAAATAAGCTTTTATTGCACATTTGACCTTTTATTGCACATTTGACCTCCATGTGGAGTTCAAGGTGGTTTATCATGGCAGAAATAAATAATAATTATTTGTCTCTTCATTTAAACTCCAGTCTCTGAGGTAAAACTGTTTGGTGGATTAATATTAACAAACATCAATATTTAAATATTACAGATTCATTTTCAAACTGTCAACTATTCACATTTGAGAACTTTGCACATTCAGTGATATGAGTTAATTCATTTAGTGGGAATATTATAAAGGTTTAATTAGAGAAAAAGTGCATTAAATATTTTCTGTCATGTTTCAGTGGATAAAGATAAATGTGTTAGTTTAACACTAATCAGAAATGGATCAATGTTTTCCAGCCCAACCTGAAGCGGGAGTCCTGCCTTCGCTCCGAGGAGCGTTGGAGAAAACCAGGGCCGAATATTTTCTCACAGATCACCTGGGAAAGAAACGGGACAAATGGAGGGAATTTGATCCGTTGGTGCAAAACAAACGATAAGAAACGGAAAATAACAAAACATGAAAGAAAAGAAAAAAATCGATCAGATGTTGAATCATCTGAAGGCGATTTGAGAAAAACAAAACCGTCTTTCTGAACAGAGACGCCTGGCAGAGGGAGGTCATCAGGTCATCAGGTCATCGGGTCATCAGGTCATCAGGTCATCAGGTCATCAGGTCAACCTGAACAGACACCTGCGGAGCGTCGGCCAATAGGAGAGCAGCTCTTCACTCAGCTTCGTTTTCCTCTCTCTCTTTGTTTTCCGTTTTAAACTATTTTGGTTCAGATATTAAAATCAAATGTTGATTAATTAACTTTAAATTTTGATTTCTTATGAAATAAAGAAGCTGTTTAGAATCTATTCAAGTTTTGTTTCAATCAGTTTATAGTTTGAATCTGTAAATGATTTTCTGGTTTTTCTCCTGTTTCATCTTTTCTCCGTCGTTTCGTTCCGTCGTCGCCTGGATGATGAAGCTGATATCTGATATCAGAGACACTCGATCAGCAGCCTGACAGTCTGACCTCCTGCTGCCATGATGATGATGATGATGTGATGAAGATCTGAGGCCTTTCAGAGCAAAAGGCCTCGGCGGCCGATCTACTGCGCTTTAAACATATATTATTATTATTAGTTAATATAATTCATCTATTTTCAGCTATGAAATGCATAATTATAACATTTATTTCAATATCAAGTCAAATTATCCTTCCATAATTAACAAAAGCAGAAGAAAATAAATATTTGACTCTAATATACGTCAGTAAAACATATTTTTTAAAGAATAAATTTCCCAGCCTGGGTTAAATATTTTTTCTTTAAGTATGAATTAAAATGAATCACTGAAACTGAAATGATTCTGATTTGAAGTTCCATAAAGAGATTGGTCATGATGTGATAAATCTCAGGTGAACTCTGACCTGCAGGTTGGAGTTCCTGCGCCGCGCGCTGCAGCGCCGCCGCTGCGGCTCACACCTGGACCAGCAGTCGAAGAAGTTACAGTCGTCGTCGCTGCTGCAGTTCTGCTCCAGGATGTCCCTCATCTTGGGCTCGAAGAACGCCATGTCCACGTCGATGGCCACCACCTGAAAGGTCAGAGGTCACAGGCACCTGATGCATGCAGCCAGAAACGCTGCTGGGAGATTATATTCAAATTAAAGATTAACTTCAGTTAAATGTAAACATTACTTTTTAAATATTTTAACCTGGTTCATTTTTATCTAAATACATTTTCTGAACATAATTTTGAGTCAAAAAGATAAAACATAATAAAAACTTTTATTTTGACATTTTAAATTCAACAATGTTTTCCTTAAAACCTTTGAATTTATTTCAATTTAATTTTTTTGTTTTTCTAAAACATTGATAAATTCCTATAAATAAAAATATCTGAACTTTATTTTCCTAAAACAAATTTCTAAACCTGCCGACTTTAAAACCTGAAACAGAAAATATGAAAATAGAAAAAATATTATTTTTACACCAACTTTCAAAATGTTTTATATAAAATGAAGAATTTGTTATTAGTTAATAAACATATGTAAATAATAATAATTTGTATAATATTTGCAATAATAATTATAATAAATATAATAATTATTATTGTTATAATTATTATCATACATAAGATTAGGAAGAACCTTTCAAATCTATTTGAATTCTGACAATTATAATAATTATCATTATTATTGTTATTATAATTTCTAATATTACTATAATAATTATATTAATTCTCCCATAATTCTGAATGTCCAGAGTTTCACACTTGAGTTTTCAATTTGAGTTTTAAGTTTATTTCTAATTAAATGTGGAAACAAAAATCTTTAAAATGTAAAAATTGAATTATATTTTGTGTAAAATATGATGAACATTTTAGTGATTTATTTATTCAGGATTTATGAAATTATTTTAAATCCTAAATTTTTGACAAAAAGCAGAAAAAAAATCTGACTGTAAAATTTTAATGTTAAAACTGAAATAAAAGTTTCATGATTTAATCTGACAGATTAATAATCTGCTGGGATTTTTCAATATTTCTAGATTTATGCTTAAAAATAAACAGCAAACAAAACTGATTGTTGGACGGAGCGACAACGTAACAATTTACCTGATTTTAGTTTTTACAGTGTTAAAATCATTTATTTTGTGTTTTAACAGATAATGAGGTTAATAAATTAAAAGATGTTCATATTTAAACTGAGAAAGTTTGTTGAGGTTCTTGTTCTTCCAGCAGTCAGGAAACAACAATCAGCTGAAAGAAACTTTATGAGGCATAAATCAGTTTATTGACGACGACATGATGATTATTATTATTGTTTTAGTTTCATAAGCAAACCGTATGTTTATATTCAACCTTCATGTTTTCATTTCCATCTTCATAAGTTTGAACTAAAATAAAAATCTTTGGCTGGATGGAAACTTTTTATATTTATTTGTATTTTTCTGCCTGAAGCCTCAGAAAATAAATATAATTCCTGGAAACTTAAAGTCATTTTTCACTGTCAGCAAAGAACAGATTTGATTTTGTTCATGTTTTTTAATTTATATCTAAATGATCAGAAACTTTCTGATATTGAATCATTTTAAATCATCTGCAGGTTTTTAGTTTGAAGCTCAGATTTGTTGAGTTTTAAATCTTTTATTTTGTTTTTCTGTTTCTGTCGTTTCAGCATCAATGATGATAAAATATGAAAATTAATGATTTTATTGAGGAAACAAAAACATCCTGAAACTTTTTCAGGATGGTGAAAAAACTTTTGTCACAAAATTTGAACAAAAACAGCAGAAGAATAAAAATTATTACAGATCAGATTTTAGATCATTAAGACATTAAAACTGTTTCACTGAACAAATGATTTCATGTAAATTCATTAATAATCTGAGTTTATTCTGAAAAACCTTCAGTTTAAAATGATTTAAATGTTTTGTGTTTTTATTCTGTGGTTAAACATAAACATGTTGACTTATTATTATTAATAAGATTCTTGTTATTAATAATAACCTGACTTTTCATTTTGTGCTTTATGGTTGAATTTTGAGCTGAATCTCAGATTTCTGGACAGTTTTTCTGTTTTCCATGTTTTTAAATGAAGATCTGGACTTTATTGGTTCGACGTTTTCTGACGTTGTTAAAGTGTAACTTGTGGTTCTGGAGGCGGACCGGACCCGGTCTCACCGTCAGGTCCGTCCTGATGGCGAAGTTCTCCGGTTTGACGTCACACAGGTGCAGCTTGTGAGTGAAGTCGTTGTCAAAGTGTCGGATCATGTCCATGAAGCTCAGCGCGATCCGATGCGCCGCCAGCCTGGAGCTCCACCGGCCAGAACCGGGACCCGGACCGGGACCCGGACCGGGACCCGGACCGACACCCGGCGCCTCGTCCACAGAGAACAGGTTCTGGTCCCAGGCGTGTCCGGCCGACAGGAACTCCACGGCGTAGAAATGACCGCAGGAGCCCAGAACCCGGGCCACATGGGGACTCAGTCCTGCAGAACTCTGGGCAGAAACACAACTTTAAATCCAGGTCCAGTTTGGTTCTGATTGATGAACCAGTCCAGAACCCGGACCGACGGGCCACCGGGTTCTGGACTTCAGTCATTTCCTGTTTATGTAACTAAATCAATTAAAATCTGGACATAAAAATCAAACTGAAGGTTTTCAGAACTGAAGTTAGATTCATTTTTTTACCTGAAGAAGGTTTTATTGGGTTTTACCTGAGGAAGGTTTTATTGGGTTTTACCTGAGGAAGGTGTTATTGGGTTTTACCTGAGGAAGGTGTACTCCTCCTGCTGCAGCAGCGCCCACAGTGAGCCCAGATCGGCTCTGGAGTAACTTTTCTCTCTCAGCTTCTGACCCAACAGGCCGGACAGGGAGCCGTTCCTTCCTCCTCCCTCCTCATCCTCAGCCAGACCCAGAGAGTTCCTCACCTGAGCCCAGAACATCCCCACCTGTTCAGGTGAACAGGCTCCAAAGACGGGATTATTCAGCCAGATGACTCACCTCCAGGGTGGCGTAAAAAACCACGTCGAGCGCCGACAGCTCGTCTCCTGCTTCCTGCAGGAGAAACGTGAGAAACGGATTTAGAGATTTATTAAAATTAAAGAGAAATGATACACAGTTTAATTAAATCTAATTAATTAGATTTAAAGTTAAATGAATCAGAAACGATTCCTGAACGTTGGTGGTGGCAGCATCATGCTGTGGGATGGATGGAGGCGATCCTGGAGGAAAACCTGATAGAGGCTCCAGAAACCAGAGACTGGACTGGATGCAGGTCAAAATGGCCTAGTCAAAGTTCAGATTGCTCCTCTTCTTGAGTTTAATCCACACAGTTCTTGTTTTCAGTTTATTATTGATGTGTTTTATGAAAACATCCAGAGAATAATAATGAAGCGACTCTAGACTCCCCCTGCTGGTCTGGAGGTTTTTCACCTGCAGCTTTTTCAGCTGAATTCATTTGTTGTGTTTTCAGTTTTAAACACACTCCACACTTTTCAGATTGCCCTCAGTGTGTAGGTGTGTGTCTCTGTGTGTGTGTGTCTGTGTGTGTGTGTCTCTGTGTGTGTGTGTGTGTGTGTGTGTGTGTCTCTGTGTGTGTGTGTGTGTGTGTGTGTGTGTGTCTCTGTGTGTGTGTGTGTGTGTGTGTGTGTGTCTCTGTGTGTGTGTGTCTCTCTGTGTGTGTCTCTGTGTGTGTGTGTGTGTGTGTGTGTGTGTGTGTGTGTGTGTCTCTGTGTGTGTGTCTCTGTGTGTGTGTGTGTGTGTGTGTGTGTGTGTGTGTGTCTCTGTGTGTGTGTCTCTGTGTGTGTGTGTGTGTGTGTGTGTGTGTGTGGTACCTGGTAGTCCAGGAGGCCCAGCGGTTCGTACGAGGAGAAGTTCTCCAGTTTGGACTTGAGGATGACCCGGTTCCCTCTCCACCGGGCCTCCATCACCTTCTTTCCGTTCTCGTAGTAAAGGCAGCGCTGATATTCTACCAGGCCGCCGACACACAGATCCTCACACAGATCTCCGCTCAGCGAGCCGCGGCTGAAGTCCAGGCACTGAGGAGGAGAGGAGACGGAACCAGAACCGGGTCACGGAACCAGAACCGGGACCCGACAGAACCAAACCCGGCCGCTTCCGGATCGGATCAGAACTGCCGGCGGGTCTGATCCGCTCAGAGTCTGGAGAGACCCGGATCATCCCGGTTCCGCTCAGGATCAGCGGGATGATCGCGGCTCGGCTCACATTCCTACACAAACATCCCACAGCGAGGCCTCAGAGGTCAGAGGTCACATCAGATAAATCTGATTGGCTGATCTTTAGATAAATCTATAAACGATGTGACGGAGATTCATCCTGAGAAACTGAAGAAACATCAGAAACTTTAATTCATGTTTCTGTCAAACCGCCGAGTTTCATAAAAACTTTTCAAATAAACGGAGAAAATGATGCAGATGTAATCTGATTACATACGACAGATTTAAAACTAATAAACCATAAATAATCTGCATGAACATTCATCTGTAACAAACAGAAATAAAGTTCGAAATAAATTTGTTTTTAGATTTTAAATGTAATTATTGTTATTAAAAAATGAAACTAATTTTTCAGAAAAACATTAAATTTTCATTTAATCTGTTTCATTTGAGCAAACAGCTGTAATTTTATTAATGTATTTATTATATTTAAACAGCAGATAAACCTATAAATCCATTTTAAATCAAATTATAAATATTATTTATCATATCAGACGTTTTTTGCAGCTTGAATCTCATCTTTAGTTTTTATGGATTAACAGGAAAATCAAACTGAATTATTAGTTTTTATTTATTTAATCTTCAATCGTTTTCAGGATGTTTCCTTTAATTATTCAATGTTTTTCTGTTTTCCAACAATTCGTCTAGTTTGTCCTTTATTTGATGCATTCTGTCCTTTTCTCTTTCCCATCCCTCCGTTCTCTCTCTCTCCTTCTTGTTGTCCTTTCTGTTGTCCTTCCTGTTGTCCTTGCTGTTGTCCTTCCTGTTGTCCTTCCTGTTGTCCCTGCTGTTGTCCTTCCCGTTGCCCTTCCCGTTGTCCTTCCTGTTGTCCTTGCTGTTGTCCTTCCTGTTGTCCTTGCTGTTGTCCTTCCTGTTGTCCTTGCTGTTGTCCTTCCTGTTGTCCTTCCCGTTGCCCTTCCTGTTGTCCTTGCTGTTGTCCTTCCTGTTGTCCTTCCTGTTGTCAGCCCGTTCCTCTGCTCTCCTCCAGGTCCGGTCCGTCTGACGGGTTCTGCAGAAAGGCGTCTTTGTTCCTCTGCATTCCTCGAAGCGAGCAGCGAAACATGAAAACCTTTTAACGACATTCCTCAGTTTGACTGACTGGGTTTCTACTGGACATCAACCGTCCTCTGACCAGATGTTTACTGCTTTCACTGGAAAATAATCTTTTCCTGCTTTACTGCATTTATTGGCTCAGCCAATCAGACGGCAGCAACTCAACACATTTTACTGAAACAGCAGGTCTGCTGCTCGGTCCGATTAGCTCAGAGCGGCTGAGCTACAGCAGCAGAACGTCAGACCAGGTAAAAACCCAGAACAGATGGAAGAACCTTTAAGGTCCAATTTCAGCTCCAAGGTCCAGAACCTGATGGAGACTTGATGAAACACGGATCCTTCCTTCCATGTCCAGGCTGGTGGAGGTGGTATCATGATGGGGGACAAGTTCTAGATGAACATGTCTAGACAGTCGATTGACCCGGTTCTACTGGAACCAGAACATCTGCTTCACCTAGAGCTGCTGTGGTTCTGAGTCAAACCAGCCTGTTCCCCTCCTGGCCTGTGGGGGAGCTGCACCAACAACCACTGCAGGAAACGACACTAAAACCTCTGAAGACACTGAGAGCAACTTCCTGTTTCACCAGATGGAACAAGATGGAGGCGTCAGAGTTTAGTGATTTCTCTTTAGTCTTTGGCTGAAGACCAGGAGCCATTTCTGCTGCTAGCGCTAGGCTAACATGTTAGCTTTGGTTGGATTTACCAGAATGCCCTGCACTGTTAGGTTGGTCTCTGGTCCACTTGATGTTCAGATATGAAACTTCACTTCAACCAAACCCAGAGGTCAGAGGTCGATTAGCGTTCACAGTTCACCAACCAAACCGGACTTTGACTAGACAAGCAGACTGGAGTGGGTTTAAACCGGACCGGGTCGGGTTAAGGCTCGGCCCGGTTTCCTTCTCTTCGGTCCAACAGAATATTTTCCGTCGTTCTTCCTAATAATCCAAACATTCGTTTGGTTCTGACCTTTGACCTCAGAGGAAGCTGAAGTTTCTCCTGCTGTTGAATTAATCAGATGGAGACGCTGGTGATCAATCACTGCTGGCAGGAGGTCAAAGGTCATCTGCAGAAATGGCTGCAGAGTAAATCAAGGCTCTGGTTGTTCTGAGGAACAATGAACCGATTTTCAGCGCCAACGGCGTGTGGGCGGGCCGGCTGACCTCGGGTCGGATCAGAACCAGGGAGGAAGTTCCCACCGAGCGAACGGCTCCCTGCTGGGTGAACTGGAACCAAACCATTAAACTTTAATCTGGTTCTGTTGACTCCTGCAGGTTCAACATGTTCTTCTCCAAATGATCAGAAATCTGATTCAGAGACAAAACCTGTAAGGGTCAGGGGTCAGGGTTCGAGTTAGGGTTACATTTAGGGTCAGGGTTACATTTAGGGTCAGGGTTACATTTAGGGTCAGGGTTACATTTAGGGTTACATTTAGGGTCAGGGTTACATTTAAGGTCAGGGTTACATTTAGGGTCAGGGTTACATTTAAGGTCAGGGTTACATTTAGGGTCAGGGTTACATTTAAGGTCAGGGTTACATTTAGGGTCAGGGTTACATTTAGGGTCAGGGTTACATTTAGGGTCAGGTTAGCAGAGGCCTGAGGATGAAACCAGCTGATTTGGGTTTTCCAAGGAGTTTTGATGAAGAGCAGAAATCCTTCCTCAGTCGTTTTGTTTTGTTTCCAGCTCAGATTTTTCTGGTTCCTGAATCTGTTCAGAACCAGCGACACGGTTCCTGTCCCGGTTCCTGTCCCGGTTCTTGACCCGGTTCCTGACTCGGTTCCTGTCCCGGTTCCTGACCCGGTTCCTGACCCGGTTCCTGACCCGGTTCTTGGTCTGGTTCCTGACCCGGTTCCTGACCCGGTTCTTGGTCTGGTTCCTGACCCGGTTCTTGACCCGGTTCCTGGCTCGGTTCCTGACCCGGTTCTTGGTCTGGTTCCTGACCCGGTTCCTGACCCGGTTCTTGGTCTGGTTCCTGTCCCGGTTCCTGACCCGGTTCCTGTCCCGGTTCCTGTCCCGGTTCCTGACTCGGTTCCTGACCTGCAGCTGGTTTCTGCTGCAGGTTTTCCAGGTCAGGATCTTGGGAGTTTTTCCTTTTTGCTTCATCCAACAGAAACAAGCCGAGACTTGAAGCAGCAGAAGAAGAAACCAGGATCAGAGCGACGTGTTGCTGCAGCTGCTGCAGCAGCTGCTGCAGTTTGCTGTTTCCTTCAGTCCTTCATGTTTTTGTCTCCAAATGTTTCATTCAGTGACTGACGGCCGTTTAATGATTTTAAAATATAAACTTTCTACAGAATAAAATCACAAAGTTTTTGTTGGGATGATTTTTAATCTGCTAAATAAAAATCGGTGGTAAAATAATTCAGGTCAACAAAATCTTAGATCTGGGATCAGAAACTGGAAAACCTGAGAATGTAAAATCTTTGACCGGCTTCATCACTGTGAGGAGAAACGATATGAAATCATTCTAACATTCCCACCGTGGGACAGACGGCTTGTTGAAGAAGCTTCTCCATTCTGACTCTGTCAACTAAATTGAGCCCATTTTGGTCGACATATTAAAACTTTATCAGATGTTGCACAGAGCTGAGGCTGGACCCACTTTGTCTTCTGCTTTCTCAGTTTAATAAATGTCAGCAACAATAGATCCATCTATCATAGATCCATCTATCATAGATCCATCTATCATAGATCCATATGTCATAGATCTATGATAGATTTATCTCTCTTTGCTGATATTTTCCATATTTCTTCTCTCATATTTTGTGTCTCTTTGTTCCTCCTCTTCTTCTTCGTTGGTATGCAGCCTGATGCCTAACACCCTAACCCTCGTCTCTCTGACCTTCTGCTGCGAGGATGAATACAGATCAGACAGCAGATCTTCACTAATGAACACATTAATCCTCCAGCAGAAACTCAATTATTTCATTTTGTCTGTTTGTTTTTGTTCTGATTGTCTGAAAAACATTTTTATCTTTTTTTTCTCATCGGAATCAGAGATGAATTATAATCTGAACCTGAAAATCATGAAAACTGGAGAAAAATCATCAGCATCCGTTCCAGGTTTTCTGGATCCTGTTCCAGGTTTTCTGGGTTCTGTGTCAAAGTGTCTGTGAACAGAATCATTTTTGTTCTGATCAGATTCTGGTTCCTGAATCGTTTGGCTGAAGGAGTCGTTCTCTCTGCCAACTCGTTTCTCCTCTAATGAATTCAATTTCTCTCTCTCGTCTTTTTATCTGCGGATCGATTCTGGTTCTGTCCTGTTTGGCTCCGGTCCGGTTCTGGACACTTTGTCCAAATCGGCTCGTTGGGTTTGATTCGTTCCGCCTTCGGTTCGCTGACAGACGGACGGACAGATGGATGTTTATGCAGATCATCATCATCATCATCATTACCAGCTGTAGAAGGTCTAGTTCTAGTTGAGCCCTCAGAGGTTCTGTGGGTCGGCCCGGTTTCTCTGCTTGGTTCCGGTTCTGATAACGAAGCAGCAGAGACATCCGGGTCCAGATTTCCTCTCAGCTGGTTGCTTGGAAACGAGTCATCAGATAAAACCGTTTCCTGATGAAAATCAGGAAATCATTTAGAAAACGGCTTCAAAACACAAATATGGAAAAAACAATAAATTATATGGATGTTTCTGTTGATTCCAGATCAAAACAGATAAAATGTTCAGAATGAACTTAATGGAAACATTTGATCATTTCCACCAGGATGAGATTCATCCAACATGGAGAAACACAGGAAACAGATTCA